GTGAATGGCTTACGCCATCCGCGTGTAACCACTTTACTAGAGTGTAACTCTGGTTTAAGGGGGGGAGACTCGCGCGAGCAAAAACCGATTTGGTTCACGCTCATCACGCTCTGACGAAGAGGTCATTGCGTTTGATGCCGATATCGATAACATCGATATCGAAGAAGATGAGGCCAGTGAGAGTGCGGAAGCCCTCACTGAAGAAACGATTGATGTTGCTGCAGTGCACTCACAGCGCACTGAAGCTAACGAGTCACCAGATGAGTTCATACTGGATCGTGAAACGGTAGTTCGTTTTGTGCAAGACTCTATCTCCGAAGCAGTGGATAAGCAAAAGCAAAACGCTGACAAGAATTGAAGGGCAAACACTCTTTTATTTAATAAAGGTGACTTATTCCTACCGTCTACGGTTAATCTACCAAAGCACGTAGTGACTAACTTGGGTGGTAGTAAACTACTACCCAAGTACATCGGCCCATTTCGTGTATTGCATCGCCTAGGCAACGCATACACGATCGAGTTGCCACGTAAGATGCGAACGCATCCCACGTTTTACGTTGGTCGGCATAAGCCGTACCATCAGTACGCTGCTTCTTCCGATGAAGAACGCCCTTGCGCTCAAGCATCTCGCAGAGAGCCTTGTGCTCCCGATGGTGGGCATCAACAAGGGTCTGAAGAGCAGCTATCTCATCCCGAGACCGATCAACAATCCCACGAGCTACCCTTAGCTCGTCACGAAGAGATGTCAGAGATCTCTCGTTCTCAAGCTGAGCACAGGCAAACTCAGCTCGATGCTTCAAGACAGTGTCCGCCAGTTGAAGACGCCTGTCCCGCTCATGCTCGAGGTCGCCGCGTAACCCTTGCGTTACGCGATCAAAGAGGCTCTCGGGGACACACCGATCCACATGATCGTGTGGAGAGCGTCTTTCCTCCTCCTCCACCTCCATTAGAGGACTCTCGCGGTGGCCAGCGCTATCTAGTTGAGCAGCTGTTGAACCACCGCGACGTGAACGGACGTCGGACGAGTTACCTCGTCCGGTGGCGCGGCTATCCCCCGTCCTGGGATACTTGGGAGCTCCGCTCCCAACTGATGATTGACGTACTGCGTCTGGTTGAGCAGTACGATGCGACACATCCTGTGCCGCAGAAGGACCGCCGGAGAAAGTCTTCCCGGCACGGTCGTAAAGGGATTTCAGGTTGTCAATCCCTTCGTACATCTCAGTAGAGGTACGTACACGCCACCACGGGCTAGTAAGGAGGTAAACCTCCTTATGTGCTCGTGCAGAGTTGTTCACACAACATGGGCACGAGTCTCCCCAAGAGAGGCAGGGTAATCCTTTCTCCCTGGACAGACGATGCAGCTTGTAGCGTGCACCTGTCGGGGTTCGCTTTTCAAACTTATCACGAGATTTGATAAGTTTGTCGTTCCAAACGTCACGACCTACATCCTCAAGGTTATGGATGTAGGCGTTCCACGCTTGAAGCAGTGAGGGACCATCACGCTTGTGATTCCCACTGTACCGTCGATGTCTAAAGAAAGCGTCGATGAATAATTCATTCTCAGCGCGATAGGTTTTCGCTCTGGAGTCAAGGTGATGGATCCTTGACGAATCGAACAACCGTGTTCGATAACGATCACTCGTCGGCGACGACGAGTGATCCATGACGAATTTGGGAGGCATCCATGCCTTCTTCTCGGGAGCGAGACGCAACACATTGTGGCCCCGCTCTTCCTGCGAGGTGCCGACAGAAGTACTGGAACCTCGCTGCGAAGTGGTGTCAATAGGAGAACCGACACCACTGTGAGCGCCCGAGTCTTGCGACCTCGAGCGCCTTCGCTATGGCGATGGTTCATCTGATTCGTCAGATGAACCAGAGATGCTACGACGCATAGCATCATCCATGCCACGCTTGGCAGGCGGCTTGGCTTCGATCTCCGTCGATACAGATCCATCTTCCTTATCGGGAGAGTATGAGACTCCGAGCTCATACTCTGTGAAGACATGAGTGTTCTCATGACCAGCGCCTGCATCACCAAGTGACACAGGCTGAGTCGCTTCAGCAACCGATGAGACATCAGTTGCTGTGGTTTCTGCTTCGTCGTCCGCACGTCTCTGTGCGGACGCGCTCTCGGCGGCCTTGCTCGCGCACCGCATGGGCTTGTTAACCATGCGATGAATTGCTGGAAAGTGGACTCGGACCAACAAGTGCAAACCCTGTCCCAAATGATTTGAGACGAGTATCCAATTAGTCAATCAGCCACTAACGTGACTGATGGTTAAGGGGTGGTGATGTAACGGGGTGAATCGTTACATAACAATTTATTAGAAATTGTTAATAGAATATAACTATAAGAGTTATATTCTCAGAATATTGTCATAAGGACAAATATTCTGCAGCACTTACAAGTAGTTCCTTATTGGATGATATAGGCCATTATATCAATCAACGAATACACGCCACGACAGACGCACGCAATGAGTGGTGAGCAGATAGTTGATATGCACATTTGTATTCAGACATAGTTAGATGAGGATCAATAGTGATTTATTAACAGACATTAACTATTATAAATACAGTTCTAATTTTTACTTAAACTAAGTACTCGATTCTTCTATTGTCTTCCTCTGCATGTACGAGTGTACGTGAAGTTACGAGGCACCGCCTTATTCTGTCATCAGAATAAGTAGCTTGTACTGTTACCAGTACAAGCTTCAGAGTGCCCCGTTACAGACATGGTGTATCCAGAGAACGCATTGGGGTCTTTATTAAATGGGGCGGATAAGGAAGACACTCTACAGATTGTTGAATTAGCCTTTAATGGCGTGATTGCTCTAGTAGCAGGAAATGAAGGCTAGATAACGATCTAATATTGCAATCACAGCAAGACGAGTGAATCGAACTTAAAAATCGCAAGATAGATTGCCATGATGAAGAACAAGGACAAACTTTGATGGAAGGTGCTGTCCCGGATACCCCTGCGCAGGAGGACGATGTAAGTTTTCGTTTGTAACGGTTTGGTAACACTTATGAAACGAGGCTACTAACTTTTGTCTACGTTAGCTACACTAGCATCTCGAGAAGTACTTTTCCACCAACAACGGTCTGCATGCTGCATGAAAAAGTACGATAACTACTTGAGCGGAATGGCATGCAGACGAGAAGTAAACTGATACAAATTCCGAACGAGATCTTTTTCGCAAGATTGACTGGGTTGATCTAAAGGTAAAATTGTCATGAGTGGCACCACAAGTTTTGACTGACGACGTTGTGTTTCAGAGCTGACACGTTTCAACGATACGCCGACTTTGTCTTTGTCACCACAGCCTGGTCCTCCTACTTTAGCTAGCGGCACCAAAGTCAACGGCTTGAGCAATCGAATCACTACAGAGGTAGGATGACCTGTACACAGGAATGTTGGCTAAAACTCCCTACTAATGACATTTACCTTTTTACTAGCGTTACAAATATGTTAAGCAAGGCCTCATTTTTAACGGACTTTTCCCAAAAGTTATATTTTGTCATTCAAAGCTATAAATGGGAGGTTGCGCTGCAACCTTCTTCACTAAACGCCGCCCAATCATTACCTCCAGGCTCCAAAAATAGGAAACTTGGTAACGGTAGGAACCATGGACTAGCATCCACGCAATTAGTCTTCAAGGCTCACTTTTCTCGCAAAAGGCTTTATACACGACTTCTTTGTAATATTAAAAATTCCAACGCATTCTTTGCAATTTGTAGGTAATAAGGTTCACCATCAAACGTCAACATATTCTAGTAAGAGCGTTCTTAAAAACGTGAACACGAATGGACGGAAGATAAGGCCAAATGCAAGTACTGTTCACTTGGTTTGCAACCACTACAATTTTGTGTTGATGTCCTAATTGCCTAGGTATGTCGCGCTGATAACTAATTTTGATCTCTCTGATAACAGCGAGACATTGTCGTGCACAAATAAACCTATCGAGGTGAAGTATAAGGCTGAAAACGTTGTCAGCAACCGGACAGATTAAAAAAGTGTTTTGGTGCGTACATTTGCTTGCAGACCTCTTTTCTTCTGCATGGTGACAATCAAATTCCTTCCAGCACAACTATTATTGCATTTTGACGTTTCCACCTAGCCGAACCACCCTGCATAGAGAGAGCCTGCTTTGTGGGGCTGCATTTATATTACCTGTAAACCTGGAAAAGCGGTGAAATGATATAAACTAGTCAAAAGAGTAAAAGCTACTAAAAACGGTAAAAAGTGGTAGTAAGTGTTAGTACTGTTAACACTTGAAAAAAGAGCTAACGATTGTCACTTTGAAATAAAACTTTTTATTTGGCATACTTAACCCGTACAAGCCGAACAAATTGGCCATGAGAATGACTCAAAATTTGTCGTTCTATCAAAAAATTTGCCCGTATCCGGCTCATCACAGTGTTATACATAAAGTATAACGGGGCACTCTTTGTTTGGGGTGCCGTGAAACTTCACGTACACTAGTACGTGCAGAGGAAGCTAATCTACTCAAACAGCTAGTTTGAGTAAAGAGTAAAAAGAGAACTGTAGTTAATACAGTTAAGCTATCAATAGAACTTCAGTCTTTATTTAACTATCTTAATCAACATTGTCGTATGACGACAACCTGCTCACCACTCATTACGCGCGTCTAGTATCGATTGGTGGTAATCTTGGTTGATATGTCTTTTATCAACCAATCTTTGAGCAGCGCATGCATATTATCCTAGAAGGGGATAACATTCCTTCAAAATTATCCATCTCGGATAAGATTGGTAGGATATTGTCACGCTAGACAATCTCCCTATTGACACCGTTAGGGGTGAATAACATGTAACGGGCTACCCCGCTACATCACCCCTCCATTAACCATCAATTACCCGTTGATTGAATTACCTGATTGGAACAGGGTGACCACCGTTTGATCACGCTGGGAAGGGGGGCACTTGTTGGTCAAATTACAGCTCATTTGCCAATTTATCGCATGGTGTCAAAGTCCATGCGATGCGCTGCCGAAGCAGCAAGAAAAGCGGTTGCACGCATGCATGCAGCCGAGGAAGGTTCTACCCTTGCTTCAGCAGCAAATGATCCTTCGCCTTCATGTGCAATCCAGCAACAGGCGATGCCTGTTGTGAACAATTCACTTGGTGAGTCGCCACGTGCGACAGATACGTCCGCTGCGGCTGCAGTGGGTACTGCGAATCTCAATGTAGATGAGCCTGAAATAGAGCTTATCTATTCTGGCGAGTCGGATGATGCATTCGACTCGAAGGCGGGGCCTTCTGCCTCCGGGTTAACTGGGACGGACACTGCAAGAGCCAGGATGACTGGCTCTGGGGACGTGGTGGCATCATGTCTGGAATCTTCGGACCTAGCAATTCGCCTAACGAATCTTTGTCGGATGCAAGTCCATCCCCCGACAGGACGCGTGGTAATATTGGTGATGCCCCAGTGCATCGCCACGAGAGAAGCAACTCGAGGTGTCGAGCTGCCACTGGTTTCAGTGCTCATGCTGACACCACTCAAGAGACTAGGGACCGCAATTTACTGCGCCAAGCTCCTTAAGTGGAGTCTCCTTGGATGCCTTCATCCAAGGAGTTAGATTGAGTGGCCGGTATGACCACCGAACGGGATCGAATCCCGTTGTTCGACTGTAGGAGGATCTGCACTCCTAATTACAGCACGGAAACTATCCTTGCTGTGGAAGAGCTCTATACCGATGCTTTCTCAAACATTAAGGTACAATATTTACCGTGATCGGGACTTTAAGGCCTTGGTGCAAGGATGGAACGCCTCCATCCATGACATCGAGTGCATTAGACGTAATACCTTTCTCGTTAAACTTGATGCAGCTTGCATCAGTTCTGAAAATCGTAACGCAGTTGATGTACGTTACAAGTTGCACCGACTGTCAAGAGAGGCAGGATAACCCTTTCTCTCGTGAGGCGATACATGTCGAGGTTGCCTGAATGACTCGAACCGATACCTTAGGGAGGACTATCTCCTATTGTTTACTACTGGAGGGCGTGCATCTCTGCTGAGATGGCCGAAGGGATTGACACTTTGCAATACCTGTACTCGCGTTCGTATACGTCGTTTTCGACGGCCCTTCTTCGAACGCAGCTGGTGGGTCTGGTCTTATTGCTCGACGGGACCCGGAACATCAACAATCAGTTGGGCACGAGGCTCCCAGCTGTCCCAGGCCGGTGGATAGCCACGCCAGCGGACGAGCTGACTCATCCAGACGCCATTCACGTCACAGTGGTTCAAAATACGCTCCACCAGAAAGCTTTGACCGCCGTTAGAATCCACAAAGGGATGTGGTGGCGGCGGAACACCTGATCCGGCTCGAGAACGGATCAGCTTGATGTTCAGGGACTGAACCGTGTAACGGAACAGTTACACGATGACCTGGATCATGAACGGACTCGGCGTTATGAGCTTGAGGATCTTGCAGGGAAAATGACAATTTCTATCGTTCGGACGATAGTGCGGCGTTTGAGTTCGCGCAACTTGAGAACGAACGTTCGGTTCGTTCTCTTCGTAACGAGCTGACTGCAGATCTTCAGGACATCACTCAACTGCGTGAGCAGGTCGCTTGGCTAGTCGACCAGACTAGCCCCCTAAAAACGAACCACTTGAAGGTGGTCTCGGCTCTCGACCGCGGAGGTGTTTTTCGCATCTCGAAACGGGCTTGTACGGATAGTACGTGCGGAGAAGACCGACGTGAAACGTATGATGCTTACGCATCCTACGAGGCATTTTAATCGTGTGTGCGTTGCCCATTCGGTGTAACAGACGAAATGGACCGACATAATTGGGCAGTAATTTACTGCTGCCCACGTTTTGTCACTGCGTGTTTAGGTAGATTTACTGTAGACAGTAAAACTAAGTCTCCTTCATCAAATGAAAGAACTCTTGCTCTTCCATGTTTTTCTGCCTTTATTTTCTGTCTGTCAATTGCATCTGCAATAGAGTCCTAAACGAAGCGGACAATCGCTTTGCTAGTCAGCAGAAATTCCTCTGCTGATTCATCCTTGTTAACAGCAGTACGCTTCGTGTGCACTGCTGAAAAAAACGTTGTCTTCACCGGTGAGGGCGTCATCGTCCTCACTGTTGCAGTCGTTGGCGATGCTGAATATATCAGCATGGTCTTCATCATCGTCGTCGGTGTCAATGCGATCAACATCGGCATCTGTCACGTCGACACCACTGTCAACGGGTGATGAGCAATAACCAGATCGGTATTTGTTCGAGCGAGTCCATCCCCCTCTCTTAAACTAGAGTCACACTCCAAGAAGGCGGGTAAACGTGGGTGGCGTAGGCCATTACGGAAGAACAGTGTATGCGTTGTCGACGCATGCACCGAGTTGCTGATGGAGAATTACGCCATCAGCAAGAACTCACTCCAACTCTTAACGAATGGACGTACCCTCGAAGTATCTCTTCGAGAACGCCTTTAACGCGTTCCGTCTGACCATCTGTTTTTGGATGTTCAGAAGTTGACATTGTCAAACGTGTTTCGAGTGAACGGAACACGGCTTATCATAACTCCGCTGCGAAGCGGGGGTCCCTGTAAGACTTGAGTTCACGAAGTAATCGTGAAGTCGGAAGATAGTATCGATAAAGACACATACTCAGCCCTGGGCTGTGATCAAATCCGGTACAGTAACAAGATGTACCATCTTGTTGAACCGATCCACAAACACAGGATAACCAGTATTTGAGAGTCTTTGGGAAACCCGGAGACGAATTCCATTGAAACGGACTGCCAGCACTCTGCCTAATCAGTAGAGGCTGCAAGGGTGTACGGAAAGAAGGACTAGGCTTCACCAGTTGGCAAACTTCGCAAGCGCGAATACATTTGCGCACAAACTCATACTGGCGAGGCCAGTAGGGATTACGACTTACCGTGAGGCTAGTCTTTTCTCTACCACGATGCCCACTTGTTAGCATCGTGACACTCGTACATGATGCAAAAGCGCAGATCATTATGAGTGGGAACGACGACACGAGGTGTGTCGCCGTTAACTGCTTATAGTACAGCAGTCCATCACGAACCGAATACCTTTCGGTTGAGAAGAGCGGTAGTGAGACGTCAGGCTTTTTAAAGCTTGACTGCATGGATTGGATACATAGTCTATCAACCGCAGAAGAGACTCATCTTCTGCGTATGCTTTTCGCACGTCGTTGAGCAGATTAGACGACGGAACAATCACTGTTAGCGTCGCTACAGTAAGATCACTCCTACTGTTGCGTTGAACAGTCGGCTTAAAATCGGGGCAACGCGAAAGAGCATCAGCGACGAAAATAGTCGTCCTGGTTTACACTCGACGGAGAAGTCGTACTCCGCGAAGAAGGACAGCCACCTCGCCATTAGTTGCGAGAGGTGTGGACTGTTTACGGCTGTGCGTAACGACGCATGGTCAGTATAAACGATGAAGGGCTTATCTCCGAAGAGATTACTCGAAACATAGCCAGTGCATATTTCATGACAAGTGGTTAATCGTCATGCAATAGGTATTTACGGTCAGCTGCTTGCAGCTGAAGTGATTGATAACCGACTACGCGCTCAACGCCGTCTGAGTCGTACTGCATTAACGCGCAGCCGATTGCAAATCGCTGGCGTCACAGACCACATGGAATGGTCTGTCCTGGTCTGCAATCACCAACATAGGCGACTGTATCATGCTTTTATCTATTCAATTGAAGGAGTGCTGACACTCAGCACTCCACAACCACCTCTTGTTTTTCTTTAACAGACGAAAGAGATGTACGGTCATCTCGGCGTAGTTGCGCGAGTACTTGTGCAAGTACGCCGCCAAGCCAAAGAACTTTCGAAGTCCCTTAAAGTCGACTGGCACATGCCAGTCGCTAATCGCCTTGATCTTATGCGGATCAGGGCGTACGACGTGTTTTTCTACGATGCAGCCAAGAAGTGTTATTTCGTTCGCTGCGAATATACACTTTTTGAGGTTTGCAAACAACTTATGCTCTCGCATTAGTGACAAAACCATCCGGATATAGATTCTATGAACCTCCACGTCCGTATTTTTATCCATAGCCCGGCTATGTACGAAGACATCGTCGAAATAACTCGGTGCGAGATCGCGCACCGATCGCAACAGATTCGTAACACATCTGTTAAACGTTGCAGGGGCGTTACTTAGCCCCTGTAGATTCACTAGCCACTACCAGATCATACCACTGGGGATGCTCACTGCTGTGTACGGAATGTCCCGTTCAAGCATGAGGATCTGATAGAATCCATCCATCAGATCCATGGACGAAAAGATGGTACTTTTTGCCATACCATCAATGATGACGTCCTTCCTTGGTATTGGCGTTTGAGCCGGATCCGTTGCAGCATTCAATTTGTTGAACGCGTGCACTATCCGCCACCCTCCTGTAACTTTTCGCACACAGAATGTCGTAGAGCTGTGTGGGGGTGCTGATTTCGTCACATGACAAGCAGCTAAGCAATTGGCTAAATTAATTTTGATCGCTGTTACCAGATCACAAGGCAGTGGCCACTTCTACATGACACAGTACTTCGAACCGGATTTCAGTTCGATTCAATTTTGAGTGAGTTTGCCTTTGGGCAACTCGCATGGTACGGATTCAGGGAACACATCCCTGAGTTCAATTAAATTCTAATACAAAGCATTTGTCTTCAAAGACTTTAAAGATTGAAACGTGTACCGCTCAATCCGGGTCTTTTCATCGAGGACACTTTCGTCCATCGATGAGCTACTGACATCCCGTTCGTTCTCAGTAAGCACTTTTGCCGACCGAATATCGGCGACGTACGCGTCCTCTGTGAAGAGTACGCAGGTCTGCTTGATCTTGTTACTACGCAGATCTCGCAAGAATCTTTTAGATTCTAGCGTTGGCAAGTCGATTACCTCCGAAGCTGACTTCGGAAGCGTAATCAGATCAAGTGTATAAGCGCCTACACTTGATCCGTCATTCACCAAGACATCTATTGTCTCGGTGATTTCCTGGGAAAACACATCCGCAGGTGGTTGGGGATCCACACCCTCAACATAACTCTCGGGAGTTATTGCTCTCAGGAATGCTGGAACTTCCTTCCAATGCGTATGTTACTGTGGGTGCACTACCACAGTCATGTTCTCTTCGATCGACTCTTTTTTAGTCAATCGGGCTTGCTCTACGATCGACTCTCTGTTTTTCGATCTTGCTTCAACGTGTTGTTCACCCTGAACAACAATAATTTCTCTCCTCGGATGCACCCTTCTTGGTGTGCATCCATGTTCCAGTCCACTCGATCTATTCAAGTGGTGAACATTCGGCGCAGCCTGTGTCTCTACACAGGTTCCGGAAGCTGGTTCCACAGTGTAGTGGCCTTCTACACTGTGATCTTGTGCAGTCGTACTAACGACCGTACCACAAGTGAGGCCTTCGCATTCACTCGTAGTACATCCACAAGCTTGTGAAAGCTCCAAGACGTTCATCAGATGGTCATCTGATGGACAAACGGCAGGCATCTTCACGGATCGATGCTGCCAGCTGCTCCATGGCTGGTACTTTCTAAGCTTTGGCAGACCGAGGATGACATCAAATTTGTCATCCAAATCCATTACGATGAAGTCATCATCGCACTGCTTTCCTTATAGGGCGTAGTGGATTCCCACCACACGTTTGTTCACTGTTACGGATGCGCTTGTAGCATGGCACACCGTCATCCTTGTTGGAGAGAACTCTCGCTCAACAAAGTTGAGCCTACAATATTCTAGCGACTGGCGTCGAATAAAAATGTTCGACGCCCCACAGTCAACTAGGGCGCGAAGTGACATCCCCCTTTGTCACTTCGATCTTCAAAGTGATGAGGTGCCCCTCACTATGGGCAGTAACACACAGCGACTGTGTGTTGGCAGCAATTTTCGTCAAGTGACCTACAAATTCTCTTGACGTTGCTGGAACAGCAGGGTGCTCCGCCCCTTCTGACCCTGTTCGTTTTTTGGCGGTCCGACTTGCTGTCGCAGCTTAGCGACATAGTCGGACCCACGCCTGGGACCTTTTTCGGCCAACGGCGGTCTTCACGTCCTGTCTTTGGACGTAATGCGGTGCTAGGGACACTACACTCATGAGCGTAGTGTCCAATCGTCTGACAGCGATGGTATCTTGCCGTTCGCTTGTGACTCAGAGAGCGAAAGTTCTCGCTCTTGATGTAGCAGAGGTCCATTGGTTTGCGACCTCCGGTTTCCTGTCGTCTCGTTGGACGATAGTTTGACGAGTTAACCTGAGAATGTCTCAGGCTGAAGTCTTCTTGTTCCGCATGCGCTATCAACTTTTTCAGCTTATGGAAGTCCTCTAGGAACATGTAGGTATTCACTAGTCCATCTAAAAGGCCGTAGTTGAACACGTTGATAGGCGTGTGCTCATCAACAGAGTTTTCCGTGACGCTACTCGAAAGGTAGCGTAGGTGTTGTGCGTAAGCATGCACATCACGCTTACCTTGCTTGAGCCTCAAGAGTGCAGAGCGTGCTCTGAACTCGACTTTTGGCGGCTCAAACGTCTCTTTAAGCCGAGACTTGAAGGTCTTTAACGACTCGAACACGTTTGGGTCGTAGAGATTGAATCCCAAGGCCAAAGTCTTTGCTCGTCCTGTCAAATCTGACAGGGCAAAGGTGACTTGCACATCGTCACCCTCGATGTGATGGACCCGTACGGCGTCGTCTAAATCGACGAACCATCTCAAAAAGGGAATCTACATCGGTTCGGTAACGGGGCACCTTTTTTTGGGTTGCCGCGAAACTTTACGTGCACTAGTACGTGCAGAGAAAGCTAATCTACTCAAACAGCTAGTTTGAGTAAAGAGTAAAAAGAGAACTGTAGTTAATACAGTTAAGCTATCAATAGAACTTCAGTCTTTATTTAACTATCTTAATCAACATTGTCGTATGACGACAACCTGCTCACCACTCATTACGCGCGTCTAGTATCGATTGGTGGTAATCTTGGTTGATATGTCTTTAATCAACCAATCTTTGAGCAGCGCATGCATATTATCCTAAAAAGGGGACAAAATCCCTTCAAAATTATCTATCTCGGATAACATTGGCAGGAAATTGTCACGCTAGAATATCCACCTGTCGACACCGTTTGGCGTCAATATCATGTAAAATGCTACCTTATTACATAGTAGCTTTACATTGACAGTCCAGTGTGTGCGGCTCTGGTGCCCCGTCACACTCATAGCGGTCAAGATGCCACTTTTAACAAAACGGCCCCCGCGCCAAACGATGAGAAGCAGAAGGGTGGAAATCCAGTAACGACCATCTCCACTGTTCAAGAAACAGCGCCAGCAACAACCGTCTTCGTCCACTGGTGAAGGCGTCCTGCTAGATTTGTCAAGAAATAATTTAATTTACGCCGGAAATTCTATAGATTGAAAGTATGGTCACCATCAGCCGTCTGCAATTTCGAATGACGATGCTTTCGGCATTCTTTGGCCTTTACGTGAAGGTTTGTGATTGCGTGAGTGATTGACACTGCTCCAAACGGCAGAGGTCAACCCAAACTTTGGTCTAGCTACGAAGATGATAAAACAAATGTTGTTGAGTGAGTTGCATAGCAGGGAGATATTGCCAAGCCACTTTTTAAGGCATTGTTTTCCAAGGGCTCGACCACAACTGTAGCGAGCATTCCTCAACGTGAACACTTTGTAGTACCTTTTGGGACCAGTAATATCGGTGGCTGGATCGCAATTTGACAGACTGAAGCGCGTGCTACTTGGCAACATAATTGACTTTTCTTTTGCTCTCTTGTAACCAATTTAACATGCAAAACTGCGCTTAGACATCTGATCTATTCGATAGCACTGCATGCAACATATGACCGTGTGAATTGTGGTCGGTCCAATGTGCACGGTTGGTTTGATCATTGAAGGTGTGTTTCCTCGAATGGATGCAAGCCAGACAAGCACAGTAGACCACAACGTTGTCGCCTTGCGTCTGATATTGAGGCCTAGTCGACACTGCCGTGGTAGAATTAGACCAAGGCCAACCAGCGCAGGTTTAGCAATGACTGCGCTGTCACGGGTGTTTCGAAGGTCTCTACTGTCAAATGCGGCGCAGATAAGTGCCTTCGCTCAACGTCGTAGGGCACAAAATCGTCCAGGTGGCAAGAGAACGATGAAGACGAGAAGAACGTGAAGGCTTCCTCGAGTGCGTGTTGTGAGCAGCTGATTGAAGAAGCGTGTTTCGATGAACAAGACGTGTCGAGTGATGTAGAGGATGTATGAGCCTTCGTATAATGTGTGTTTCGATGAACAAGACGTGTCGAGTGATGTAGAGGATGTATGAGCCTTCGTATAATGTGTAAGCACGCACCAACAAGTGGCGGCGGGTCATTCGCACGTACGAAATGTGCGGCACAGCGTTTGCGCAGTTCGGATGCAACGACCATATTTGCTTGCGGACATCTGCGCACGATACATCGCATACATCTCTCGTGTTGTTCGATCAAGAATCGAGTGCGAAGAGCTTTCGCTATTACTTGCCTCATTTTTTATGGACGTGCAGGTACATGACCTACCTTTTGACGACGAAGTTGTGCTACCTGTCCGAGCAGGAGGATAGTCGACAGCACCTGATTAGCATGTATTGTCGGTATGCAAGTGCGTACTTGTCAATGTGTACTAGTCCTGCTAGTTGTAAAGAGCTTTTCTGCCAGCATCTAAAGCTCGAGACCAGAGTTCGACACTGCTACGAGAACGCAACGGTCGCATAAAGACGTTGGTTGGTACCGTGTAATCAATCGGTCAAAGTCAGAGATGCGAAACGAAAAGCTCCATACTTCGTATTCAATGATAAGCTACCGAAGATGCGTGAACGCATTACTCGCTCCTAGTCATCAACTTGCCGCAGGCGATTCGCGCGAAATGGAAATATGCAAACTTAGATATCAATCGTAATGTAGACGATGCAACCGCCCGAGACCGCCCGAGCACCACCTGGCCGCCCACGATCATCACCTTCGGCCGTTCCTCTTCACTTGTTCTTCATCGCCGAATTCTGCTTGCCCTCGAGCTCCTTGCGCGCTGTGCCGGATGCAGTCTTCGCAGCCTCCGACTCTTTTGCACGCGACTGCTTCAGCCCTTCTAAGCCCTTCTCAGTCATGGTCTCCTCCTGAGTGGTTGTTGGCTCCTTCGGTTTCATCACCTTCGCCTCCGCCACAGTTCCCAAGTTTGTGACAGTATCAACAGCCGATCCGATCCGCTCCTTCACCTGGTCCTTCGCATTCTTGGCCATATCGACAACTTTCCCAGCAATGCCCTCCGACTGCTCTTTTGCATCGCCGCCCTTCGCCTTCGTTTGCTCCTTTGCCGCACCCGCTTTATCCTTGGCCTGATCAGCACTCTCCGACATTTTATGCTGAGCGGACGCAGCCTTGTCTTTCGCCGTCTCCTTGGCTTGGCCTGCCTTGTCTTGAGCCATGTCCTTGGCCTGACCCGCCTTGTCTTTTGTCGTCTCCTTCGCTTGGCCAGCCTTCTCTTGCGCCATGTCCTTAGCCTGACCAGCCTTGTCTTTCGCCTGACCAGCCTTGTCTTGTGCCATGTCTTTCGCCTGACCAGCCTTGTCTTTAGCCATATCCTTAGCTTGGCCCGCCTTCTCCGCGGTCATGTCCTTCATGTCACCAGCTTTGTCTTTTGCCTGACCAGCCTTGTCTTGAGCCATGTCCTTGGCTTGGCCCGCCTTCTCCGCGGCCATGTCCTTCATCTCACCGGCTTTGTCTTTTGCCTGACCAGCCTTGTCTTGTGCCATGTCCTTGGCTTGACCTGCCTTCTCCGCGGCCATGTCCTTCATCTCACCAGCTTTGTCTTTTGCGTGACCAGCCTTGTCTTGTGCCATGTCCTTGGCTTGGCCCGCCTTCTCCGCAGCCATGTCCTTCATCTCACCAGCTTTCTCTTTCGCCTGGCCAGCCTTATCCTGTGCCATGTCTCTGGCTTGACCAGCCTTCTCTTCCGCTTTAGACGTGGCCATCCCAGCCTTCGCCTTGCCATGTTCGACCGACTCGTTGAAGGTCGCCTTCATTTCATCCTTCTTCTTTGTTGCGGCCTCAGTGACCTCGGCCCCCTTCGCTTCGACACCTTGGGCCGTGTCCGACTGCTCCGCTGCGAGCTTCGCATTGTGCAGCGTCTCCGTAATGTAATTCACGCTCTCCGAGACAATGCCTACGGTCGTCGACGCCACTTTGCTGCCAAGTCCGCCAGTCACAGTGTTGTCCACCCTGGCTGCCACGGCCGTCACCCCCAGTCGAGCGTCCAAGTCGCGCACCTTCTGCACGACGCCACTGCCCATGCTGGTCACGCCCAACTTCTCGTCGCCAAACTCGGCGACACGCACCGCCTCCCCCACTGCAACTTGGGCCCCGTGCGTCGCCTGTCCCGCCATGTTGCCAATCGTGTCGCGCAGCTTCGTCAATTGACCCGTGGTCGTCTCCAGTGCGTCCGTCGCTGCTTGGCGACCCGAATTCACATAGTGATGCAGCGTTTCCATGGCGTGCTGGCCGGTAGATCCCGCATACTTGTCATCGTACGCCACCGCTTGCTTCTGCAACTCATCCAGCGATTCCCGCACGCCTTGCATGCCGTCCAAGGCCACGGGCACAGTCCGTTCCGACAAGTCCTGGCCCTGGGTCTTCAGCTTCTGCGTCGCAGAACGCGAAGCATCCAACGCCGACTTGAGGTACTGCGTCGCGGGTTCCATGTCCGAGTGCTTCTGCTCGTACTCATCCACTCGCTTCGTCAACTATAACCCACAAGCCACAATGCACGTCAGTCACTTCAACCTGCCAGGTGCACCCTTTAGGCAACCGTCAAAGTCTCAACTCCTTACCTCCGTCAAATACGAGTCAGCCTTCTGCGTCGTTTCGTGAATTTGCTCCCTCGCGCGGTCAATGTCCGGGCGGTGGGCATCCATTTTGTTCTGTAGGTCAGTCATGGTGGTAGTTGGTCGTCGAGTTGCTGCTTAGTCCTGCTGCTCAAGTAGTAAATCGCTCAATGATCATCTTCACTTACCCCAACGCGAGAGGCGAGTGAACCGTTAGAGTCGTGCAGAAACTCCCGGGTGGTGGACGACCACCTCGTCCCAAAACGTAGTGGGTGCGAGCGCGTTACGGTCCCATCAAGTGCGATGGCCTTGGACAACGGGCGCCAAAATCCTCTCATTCCAAAGGCTTCGCTCGGAGAAAAACCGAAAGTGCGAAGGGGTTTCAACCCCGTTTCGCAACGGGCACCTCGGGGCAAAAGATCGCGTCGTCGTCGTACAAGGCGTTGGGCGTTCTGCGCCATGTCCTCGCGACTGTTTGAAAGGATCGAGCGATGGATCGAGAGATGGATCGAGAGATCTTGATCGCATCAGCTTCAACATCACATGCAAACCATGAGGTATCATGGAACACGACGTCGATGTGACGATGATGGGGATGGGCGGATGTCGACTGAGACAGTGGATCGACCATCCTAAAGATCGAATTCAGTCATCACAAGCTTGTCACAACTTGATGTGTGATTTCGAGTGCGACTTGCTTGGTAGATAGTGCAGGGCCCTAGTTCGAAAGCATGAAGGGCTTCTTGTGGCAATGACGGTGATCGTCGGATGAGTTCCTTGCATGTGCCACGTCATGTGCGTAGAGGTTTGTTTAGTTTATCAAGTGCTACGTCAAAAAAGCTAAACTTAAGACCGTCGTTGGCGTCGAGTGCACGTAAGCTAGGAGCTCTTGGTACCTAAAGAGCTGGCCACGTAATCCAGCGACGAGGACACTGCACCCGTAGCGCGTTCCATCAACGACGGATCGGCTTTCGAGTCCTCTGGCTTCATCTTCTCGGCAGCGTCTGATGCCATGTTGGAAACACCGTCGGCAGCGGCTGAAGCGTGTTCGGCCATTGACTTTTGCGTGGCAGTGAATTGGTCCCGCAGGGCATCGAAGCCGTGGAAAGTCGACTCGCGCGTCGACTTCATCAGGGACGAGATCGAGTCTTGCAACGACTCCTTCGCGCTCGAGCCTTTGCTCTTGGCACTGTCCACGTTGTCATTGATCGAGTCACGCGCGCGTTCGTCGTACGTCTTGGCAGACTCGCCCAAGTCCTCCAGGGCCGAATGGGCGTGGTCCATCGTGCGCTTGGCCGACTCGACAGCCGAGTCCGATGCGTTGTTGCCGCTTGTCCGGATGTCTTCGCCCGCTTTCTTGAGCTTCTCCACGGACTCGTTCGCCCGGTCCATTGCGGCCTGGAAGAAGGACGTGGCGGTATCTTTGGACGACTTGTGCGAGTTGTCGTAGTCGGCGAACTTGCTCTTGAGCGAGTCCAAGTAGCTCGAAGCTTCGGTCGCGCCGCTGTGCATGAGGTCCTGCAGCTTGGCGAACTCCTTCTCGGTCGTGTTGTTGGAAGACTTGTTCGACAGGTTATCAGCGATGGCCATGGTGAAGGAGGGGGGAGTGGTGGATGGGTGTCTGGGTGGGCACTTGAGAGCGAATGTTGGAATGATCGATCGATCGATCGATCGACCTTCAGGTGTCGAGAGAGAGAGAGAGAGAGAAGAGAGGTGTCGGTGGAAACGAAGAGAAGGATGTCCGTGAAAAATGAGTTTCTGCGGCCGTTTCGAGCGTTTCGCGCGTCGAGCGGTCGGTCTCTTCATGTTGAAGGACGTCATGAGGTCAATCGCCACGCTGAGGTGGCTGCTACCTGCCAGTGGCACCCACCCACCCACCCATCACTAGTTTCATGATTGCGATCGATCGCAGCTGAGAAATCGCTCACGCCCGTGAGAAAACGTCCTTCGTCGAATGACCGGTGCCGGTCTCCGTTGTGCGTCGCCTTCTTCACTGGTCGATTTGAGAAAGAAGACACCATCTGATGTACTAGTTAGGGGTCAAGTTACGTCTGACTGCATAATGCAAGCCTGCAGTGAGACGCTGATAGTCTACTCACTTCATTCAATCAAGCATTCATCATTCTTCTGTGGCCGACTTCGGATGGCGGACGCTTTTGATGCTCAAGCTTTTGCTTTTGCTATCGAACTTGCAAATCAGCTGTCCAGCACTGGAGCGTTCATTGACGACTTCGACGAACACACGCGCATCTTCAGCTACAATGTTGATACCAACCACATGAGGAGCGAAGCAGGCGCTTGTTCGTCTCTCCGCATACTTGCTGGTTGCACTCGAAATGGTACAGTCGTCGGTGTGGTTGCGAGTCCGGTGGATGCGTCTGCGGAAATCCGCTCAAGCTCAAGTGTAGCGTGGTGGTCGCTGATCGACCGCGCGGCGGACATTTCGTCGGACGACTTGTTAGCAATAAACTGGCAGTAGATTACTAGAAACCTGAGTCTTGACGGGCTTGGGAATGCGGCCGTCGATGAGCTTTATGGTTGTCTTGCAATACACCTGTGAAGTACACATTCGTTAGATTGTCGCGTTCAAATACCTTCAGCCGTGTTGCATGGCAGGCTTGACTGTGGATTCCAATCGTCATTACAGCTGCTGACAGTTGTAACCCGATAGCTTTGTTCATCGCTCAAAAGCATCCACGTCTACCGTATCCCAATGTATCGATGTATCGCTGTGTTCATTAAATGCTTGAGGAAGGTTTGCATCACTCTGGTGCGCTAGTCACCAGCCGTGTTTGAGCATTCCCTAGGGCATTGTAAAGCCGAGGCTTAGGACTAGCAAAGTTTATTCAAAGGATCAACTTTTTCTCACGGGCGTGAGCGATTTCTCAGTTGCGATCGATCGCAATCATGAAACTAGTGATGGGTGGGTGGGTGCCTCTGGCAGGTAGCAGCCACCTCAGCGTGGCGATTGACCCCATGACGTCCTTCAACACGAAGAGACCGACCGCTCGACGCGCGAAACGCTTGAAACGGCCGCAGAAACTCATTTTTCACGGACATCCTTCTCTTCGTTTCCACCAACACCTCTCTTCTCTCTCTCTCTCGACACCTGAAGGTCGATCGATCGATCGATCGATCATTCCAACATTCGCTCTCAAGTGCCCACCCAGACACCCATCCACCACTCCCCCCTCCTTCACCATGGCCATCGCTGATAACCTGTCGAACAAGTCTTCCAACAACACGACCGAGAAGGAGTTCGCCAAGCTGCAGGACCTCATGCACAGCGGCGCGACCGAAGCTTCGAGCTACTTGGACTCGCTCAAGAGCAAGTTCGCCGACTACGACAACTCGCACAAGTCGTCCAAAGATACCGCCACGTCCTTCTTCCAGGCCGCAATGGACCGGGCGAACGAGTCCGTGGAGAAGCTCAAGAAAGCGGGCGAAGACATCCGGACAAGCGGCAACAACGCATCGGACTCGGCTGTCGAGTCGGCCAAGCGCACGATGGACCACGCCCATTCGGCCCTGGAGGACTTGGGCGAGTCTGCCAAGACGTACGACGAACGCGCGCGTGACTCGATCAATGACAACGTGGACAGTGCCAAGAGCAAAGGCTCGAGCGCGAAGGAGTCGTTGCAAGACTCGATCTCGTCCCTGATGAAGTCGACGCGCGAGTCGACTTTCCACGGCTTCGATGCCCTGCGGGACCAATTCACTGCCACGCAAAAGTCGATGTCTCAACACGCCTCGGAAGCTGCCGACGCCGTGTCCGAAAAAGCGTCGGAGGCTGCTGACGGTGTCTCCAAAAAAGCGTCGGAAGCTTCCGAGAAGATGAAGCCAGAGGACTCGAAAGCCGATCCGTCGTTGATGGAGCGTGCGACGGATGCAGTGACGTCGTCGCTGGATTACGTGGCCAGTACGCTGCAGGGCTCGAGTAGTGCCAAGAGCACGTAAGGCAGGAGGCGAGAGCGCAACAGTATCAAGCCACTGCAGGATAGCGACCAGTAGACGTCATACCTAATGGTGTTCAACCAGCTAATCACGCCTTGCATCCTGATCTTGTGTCTCGCACTGACAGCGGTAGAGTGCTAGTTGACGCGAAGACGGTCATGTTGATAGGTCACTTCAACGCAGTACAACGAGGCTGACCCCGATGCGGCCCTGATGACGACGTGATCGTTGTCAGCGACATCGGTGAGGTCTATTGTACCCACGAATGCTCGCAAGGAGAGATGCTCGTTCTCTTCCACAAGTGTCGGGCAGTTGCAGGGTCGATGATTGCCAGCCTGTCAAGTCGAGAATCCACGAGCTCGATTCGCTAGCCAAGCGGAGAACAAAAGCATTTGGGTCGGTTCGAGCTACAGCAAGTGTCAAAATGCAGGGAGATGAGTGCCAAGGTCACCCTGCCGTGACACAGAGCAGACCTCATTGCCATGACGCAGGGCAGACCTCATTGCCATTGCCGACTTCATCTCGGTCCTTGACCTTTCCCTGACTATTTTCAAAAGCAAGTACGTGAGCTGCAAGTGGTTGCAACATGGAAGGTGCATTGATCACTTGTGTTGGCTCGTTGGCTCGTGTCGCGCTATACAGCAAAGCTCAACCTCACTTAACGTGACGAGTTCGAGTGTAGGTGTGACGACTAGCTGAGGAGCGCGCAGTCGACCAAATGATGATTTTAGTGGCGCCAGCTGCTTCATGTCGTTACGCGGAACAACAATCGAAACCCTTTCAGAACGACGTATTCCTGCACTTCCACGAAGCGCAGCAATTCCTAGAGCCGACGACAAACCGATGTCAGAAACTTCGTGCAATAGCTTCTGAAAATGAACTCGAACACTTCATGTGATAGCTGTTCAACAGGTCTCGAACTCGACTACTTTACATTATCTTTGTGATTCTAGTCTTCGATCGAGAGCCGTCGGGCCCGAACCGAAACAACAAATCCGCTCATAAGATCACATGACCACCCCCAACACAACGCTCGAGCCCATGCCAGATCGCTGAGCGTTTTCTTCAGCGACATCGAAGTACTTCACGAGCAACCCACGATATTCGTAGCAACGAATCGGAATAAACCGACACCTCGATTCCAATATCGACACGCTTGAAGACGGCAGCGGCGGCATCGGCAGTAGATGACGTTGCATGACACGACCAGAGCGCCACACACAGTGATCCTTCCGCACAAATCCACGCCGCTCAATCGCCTCTCACTAGTTTTGCATCCTCACCACATTCAAACACAATTTGACACACTCGTCTCCAAAGCCACACTTCCAGTCGGTCCAGTTCCCCTCACTGTCTCTTCGCGGCTGCGTCCATCAACTTCCGCTCATCAATCGCCACTGCAGCCATCTCCATCTCCACGTCTTCCATCAAAGTGTCCACCTGGACGCCGTCCTCCACCATACTACACGCTTCGTCTCTACTACAAAACACGTTCGGCCCCGCTGTCTCTTGCTCCGCCTCTGCCTCATTCCCCTCCTCCTCCTCCTCCTCGTCATCGACGTCCTCGTCCAGCTCCGCGACCGTCCGCACCACAGGTCCATTATCCAGCGCCTCTTGCGTCACGTCCACTACCGCCACAATCTCCTCGCCCTCCTCCTCGTCGTACACGAACCGCGTGTGTTTGCCCTGAAACACCGGCAGTCCCTTCACCACGTTCGCCTCGTCCTGGAAAAACTCCGAGCGCGCGCCAATCTCGGGATGCGCTCGCACAGCGGCATTCAGACGCTCCACCTCCCGAGTCGTGAACTCCACAGCCTCACGATCGAACGCAGTGACTGGAATGCGCTCGGCAAACTGCCCACCAGACGCATCGTCGTCGTTCATGGCATTGGGATCCATCGCGAGGTCCAACACTCACTGGCCTTTTGAATGGCGTGACCCACCGACACCGGTCCAAAAGAGCTCTTCCAGCAGCTGCAAACGACTGGAGACCAACCAATTGTTTGATCCCAAAAGCAGCTGTTTATTCGGAATGTGATCCTTGCTTCCGACCGACCGTCTGACTTTCGGTCGGACTTTCTGACTCTCTGTCTGACTATATATCTGACTATCTGTCTGACTACTATCTGTCTCATCCAGTCAGTTGTGGTTCTCACATGTCACATGGACCACAAGTCGCTAGTCAGACAAGTCCCTGCGATCCAGTCCATTGGTTCGCACATGTCACACGTAGCGCGTAACTTGCCACGTCTGAAGTCGTCGGCGATCCATCCATCCGTCCATCCATTCGTTCGTCTCTCTCTCTCTCTCTTGGTCTCCTCCACGAGTGGACACGACCATGTCTGGAGGCGCGTATGACCGTCGCGGGTGCAGCATCGCAGTCGACGTGGACGACGCCATTGAGCGCATCGTGAACGACTTCGAGAGCCGCGACGTGGCGCTGCGTCTGGACGTTCTGCGGGCTCTGAGTGCACAAGCGCGACTGGCGTTAGAGACTGCGCAAGTGCAAGAGCGTCTCTGTCAACACCCCGTGGCTATGGACTTGATCAAGGGCGTCACGAGTCAGTCGCTGGTGTACAAGACACTGGCGGAAACGGTGACGGTGGAAAGCTGCAGCTGTGACTACGACGTAAAGCGGAACGTGGTCATGGCTACGAGCGTCTGTTGGACGTTGCCAAGCTCGGGAGCGACGGGGAAGAAGCGCAAGCAGTTGGCAGGAGCTCGGGCGAGAGACGAGCGGAAGAAGATGTATACGAAGTACAGGTTCGAGAGGACGAGGAGGCAGGAGAAGAAGGAGGGAGACGACGGGATGGAGGTGTCGCTCGTCAAGTTCTCGGTTGTTGTGGCGTTTGGCGACGACGATTTGTCGCCCAGGGAGCTGCTGTACTTTGAATTGGCGTGCGAACATCCGTATCCCAGGAGTTACTACGAGGATCAACGTCGTTCAGTGCTGTCGGGTGAAGAAAGAGAACAGGAAGAAGAGGAGGGCGACGACAAAGAGAGCGGGAAGGAGGAGGGTGATGACAAAGAGAGCGGGAAGGAGGAGAAGCCGCACGCGGAAAAGAAGAGCGGTGAGGAGGAAGCGGACACGGCAGCAGGAGACGACGAGACGTTTGGGGAGGAACAGCGCGAGTTTCGTTTTGATAACGACGTGCTGGCTGATATGGCCGAGTGGATGCAGTCGGGCAAGAAAGAGCTGGACCCCGTCGACGTCGTTGGTTTTTTCATGGCGTTGCCGGTGCATGAGGACGAGTGGCTGATTGACGAACGCGTGTGTGCGATTCTGTTTCAAGGTGGAACAGAAGGCGACGGCAGTGATGAAAGTGGCAGTGAGACCGAGGAAGGAAAGGGAGTCGATGCGGCGGAACGAATGGGATTGTAGACACAGAGAGAGGCTGCTTGTGTCCAATGTGACTAGCACATTGCTTGATTTGAAGATCAGGCGCTCGTGTGTGCCCAGGTGCGTCTGTTTGTCGTACCCGAGTCTTTCCATTGCTGCGTGCCCGTGTGCTTCTCTCGGCACCGAGACCATGAATACTACGCTAGAAAGCTAAGCCTAACGGAGACTAAAGACAGTCACCTCATCAGCGTGCATCAGCATCGACTATCTGCACGAGATGATCCATTCGGTCATGACTGAAACCATGAGATTGCAAGATCGACAGCTACAGCACATCAAGAACAGCCACTGGCGAGGGCGAATGCAGCAACGGAGTGTTTCGGAGACGGACAATCGATAAGCGTGCAATTGCACAATGCGTGTCGTGGGTCAGTGAGTGAGTGAGTGAAGCATTTTACGCGTTGTCAATGCCCCAACACGAGGCATTGACAACGTGAGCTGATTATCCGTCGTCATAAGCTCGGTTGTGGCTGACCCGAAGTGACAGCAGCGCTAAAGCCATGCATGGGGCCTTAGCTTGGAACTTTGAGTATGGACCACCACCTCTTCGGATGCTATAAACGATTCAGCACTCTGTGTATTACTTGTGACCGACAACCCTCGACGACTACCAGATTTACAGTCTCTACAGCCATGCAGCTTCAGTAGCGCCTTTGACGTGCGCAATGAAGTCGCGTCCTCAGCGTCTCTTTTATTCGAGAGTGAAGGGGACGAAAGAGAGCGATTTTATCATCCACATGAACGAGAGCCGAGGTGTTGACCATGATGAGGTTTGAGGTATTTATCTGCTTGTCATGATAATCCGAAACATGTCGTGCAGCTCAGGCCGAGATCGAGAGACTCTTACCAGCTGGGAACCCACCTTGTCAAACTGTACCATCACATTTCAGTGATCGATCGATGTAAATGCTGTAGAACTTGGTCCATTCATAAGAACACTCAGTCAGGTCTAGGACCAGCAGCAGTGCAAGTCACGATTCGATCGCAGGGACAAAATAGGCAGCAGTGTGAAGCTTCCCGAGTTTTAAACTTCCACGAGCAGAGCTGGCGTGTCTATTGCGAGCGACGAGATTCATCCTTGACCAGTTCACCCTCAATTCAGCAATTGCAGAAATCATCATCATGGACATCGAACCGGGAGAGAATGACTGGTACTGAGTGACGCTGTACTCTTCAGCGAGCGAATTGTACCGGAGCCGACTACACGATTGTAGTAGCGCAATGCGCTTTCATCTTCTTTGCTGTCCAATCCTCGGCACCTGTTAGAAAGCGAGGCAGTCCGAGCATCAACGGCCGAAACAGACAAGCCGTTCACACGTCGAGCACAAACTCGTACAAATATGACGAAATGACGACGGATACTCGCTCGACGTAGGTCAAACGCTCACAACTCCAGAGCCATTGTTCAGCTTTAGCACCGTGCGGGTTATGAGGAACGGCGCTGCAACTCAAACACGTTAGCTCACCAACTACTGCTGCAACAGAAGTGAATGAGAGTCAAAAAGCACAGTCGACTTACGTGTTGAGCAGTGCTGTCTATTTCGTAATTTCGATGTCGCGAATGAGCTCGCACAGCTCATCATCGACGTAACCAGGTGCGTGCTGGGCCTCACCGCGGCGACGACCATGACGATGCAGCTGCTGCAACAATGTCTTGGCATCAAGTCCCTTCGCGTCTGCTTTGCGGACGAATACAACACTGTTGACGTCCTGCTCACCGGGTCTCAGCGCAAAAACTACACGTGAGTCTGCAAACACACGCTCTAATCGCGCAATGATTTCCTTGTACAGTACACTATCGCGGCAGGAAACGTTAACAAGCAGCACTCCACGAGAACTCAGTAGGCTGTGCACTTGTGTCAGGAACGCGTCCTCGACGAAGCTAACAGGTGGACAACTCATGCCGACATCTCGCTGTTTCGCGTCCACGTCTACGATAATGGAGTCGAAGCTGGGTCTAGGAGCTGCTGTAGATTGTTCCGCAACATATTCGAGCGCATCGGCTACCACCACACGCATACGCTCGTCCGGATGAAAGCCAAAATACTGTTCAGCGACCGTCACGATAGAGGGATCAATTTCGCATACTGTCACATCCATGCCGGAAACATTATCGTGCAGGTACTGCGCCAGACAACCCCCGCCGAGACCAAGCACCAACGTGCGGTGCAGACTGGCGGTATTCGTACTAGAAGACAACGATGTTGCATGGAGCGCCGCAACCATACCCTTGTGATACCCGAATGCCAAATAGGACGTGTCCACGCTTGCCCGCTTTGCCTTAGCCTTTTGCTCCTTTTTCCGGTTCTTCTTCTTGTTTTTCTTCTTTCTTGCAGCAGTTGCGGCGTCTTCAGAAGTCATGCTAGAAGCTTGCTGGTGGCTCTCAACAGGAGTAGCAGTGGAAGGTGTGGGAATAGCAGGGCTGAGGTCTTGCAGCTTCACTTCACTCTGGATGACGTTCGTATTACTTAAGAACACCAGGCGCCGAAGTAGCTCACCATCCTCCTTCACTTCTTCCACAAAGAAAGCACCGCTGAGCGAGGACGTGCTCTGATGGACAATGTTACGAGCACCAAGACCTTCCTCCACCGTCAAGTATGGAATCTTCTCATCCGGGCCAAGCGTGTCAGGGGCCAGCTCCATGATCTTGGCGTTCAACTCTTCTTGTACCTTTGCAGCGCTCTCAAAGGCGTGGCCACCGCGACCGAACGCTACAAGGATCAAACGGCTAAACCCAGCCCCTACTGCGAGTTCGTTCGCTCCCTCTTCAGTCGAGAACATCCACTCGTGCTCACGACCTTGTGGGATGAGGAAGACGGCACAACTACCATTGGGTCCGCGCTGACTCGTGTCAACAAGGCGCAAAGTAAACCTAGGGTTCACTTGTCCATCTACGACTCCGCACTGGCTTTCAACCTGTTTTGTCATGGACTTTTCGTCATTGGCAATCAGCTCAATCAGCTCCTGTCTACCAACTTTCAATTGACGCAGTGCCGCCTGCGTCATAGCAAACCACTGCGTCGCTTCCACTTCGTGAGTCAACCAGCGCAGTCTCGCATCATCTTTTTCGCTAACAAAGTGCTTGGCATTGTACCGGACCTTTGCCTGCGCTCTGACGTCTGCCTTCCGGCACTTGAGCGCTGCCACAAGAAACGGGACAAAAGGTTTCCGTCGTTCTCGCGGGAGCTCCTGCACGGTCACACTCCAGACCGTCGCCTCTTCGTGCACGTCCATGACAAAGAAGTCAAGTAGATGCTGCAAAATAAAGTCTTGGGCCATCGTCACGCAGCAGTACCGTCCCCCAGCAGCCAGTACACGCCGCACTTCCTGCAACATCCTCGACGCATCTTCTTTAACAGCTGCAGTATCCTCAGCCATCAGAGCATCCAGCGCTCCTTTGTCCATAACAAGGTCAAAGCTATTGTCCGCCAGCGTCCGCATGTCTGTCATGTCCATCACCTGCCACTGTAGCGCTGGATGCTTCCGCTTCATTTCGTCAATCACGCGCTCACTGAAGTCCACGCTCAGCAAATTACTGTAACCATCGACTGCCAGGTCGTTACTTAGCGCCGAATTGCCGCAGCCAATAACGAGGACACGAAGATTGGCTTTCAAGCGGCGCAAAAGCGACGTCGGCGCGTCGTGTGGTAGCCCTAGCAGCGCCTGGAAAGCCGAACGGAGACACGCATAGTCTCCGTACCATTCAAAGGCCTTTTCGCTCCGTTTTTCAAAGAACGTGTCCCAGTACGCTTGCTTACGGAAGTCCTCGGCCTTGCGCGGCAGGAGCTCGTGGGTCATGGTGGTCATTGAGCTGCTGGTGGTTGTCATGATTGTTGGTCATGAGCCAATCACATGCGTTTATGAAAGCTACTCCAGCCCTTGATTGTGAAGTCATTGGGATGAGGGAGGGCGTGTGAAGTTACACGAGTGAAGTAGTTGTATGAGTGGCCCATTTGCATAATTACAGGTCCGGGTAGGATGGACGGCAGCGATTCCCGTACGTACCCCGCGCCTCTACTGTCTCTTCTGTCTCTTCTGTTCTACCAGTGACTGTAAGACCCTGTAAGGCTGACATCACCCTCTCGTGCGTGTGCTGCCTCTGTCTGTGCTCTCGTCTGTCGTGTCTCGCTCTGTAGCCAAGAAGCTGAACGCAACGGCGAAGGAGTTCTCCTTTAATCCAGGGGCTACGACTTGGAAGCCGCCCGCGGCCTTTACACCGCCACCCCCTGCAGCTGCTCCAGTCCCTGCATTTGATGTGGCGATGCCTGTTCCCAAGAAGGGCAGCGCTACCGTTCTGGGTGCTTCTTCCGCTGCTATAGCGGAGCCCGTGGCCCAATTGGAAGAAAAGGTGGAGGAATTGGAGGTGAACGACCATAAAGAGGAGGTGGCTGAAGCAGCTGATACGGAAAAGGCAGAGGAGGTGGAGGTGGAAAAGGCTCAGGAGACTGAAGAGACCAAGGCGGAGGAGGGGGAAGACGAGGACACTTTTGAAGAAGCAGAAGTGAGTGACGAAGACCCTCGCGAGCATCTGAACGTTGTGCTCATCGGTCATGTTGATGCCGGCAAGTCAACGCTGTCGGGCAACCTGCTGTATCTCATGGATATGGTGGATAAGCGGATCATTGAGCGCTACGAGCGCGAAGCCAAGCAGCGCAATCGTGACAGCTGGTTCCTTGCGTATATTATGGATACGGGTGAGGAAGAGCGAACCAAGGGCATCACCGTTGAGGTCGGACGCGCCCATTTTGAGACTGAAAGCCGTCGGTTTACGATCTTGGACGCCCCGGGACACAAGAATTACGTGCCTAATATGATCCAAGGCGCGTCACAGGCCGATGTCGGCCTCCTTGTAATTTCGGCACGCAAAGGCGAATTCGAAACGGGCTTTGACCGAGGCGGACAGACGCGTGAGCACGCCATGCTGGCCAAGACGCTGGGTATTAACAAGCTTATTGTCGTCATCAATAAGATGGACGAAGCAAACTGGGAACAAGAGCGGTTCGACGAGTGCGTCAACAAGCTTCGTCCATTTTTGCGTACATGTGGCTTCGCTGTAAAGCGCGATGTGGCATTCATTCCCGTGTCAGGCCTGCATGGCGACAATGTCAAGGTGCCGCTGGACAAGGCCAAGGCACCGTGGTACGAGGGCGACTCACTCATTGACTACATGGACAAGATGCACATTGCCAACCGTAACCCGGATGGACCTCTGCGTGTGCCGATCTTGGATCGCTACTCTGAGCGTGGCACGATTGCTTTGGGTAAGGTGGAGTCAGGCGTGTTGGTGACAGGCCAGAAGGTGGTGCTGATGCCCACGAACACGCCGGCGGTGGTGAATCAAGTGTTTATCAATGAACTGCCCGTGCGTACTGCCAAGCCTGGTGAGAACGTGACTATCCGCCTGTCCAGTGGTCTTGACGAAGTCCAAAAAGGCTTTGTGCTCAGTGGTGTCAAAGACGATAACCCGCCGCGTGCGATCCATGCTTTTGCCGCGCAAATTGCTCTCGTGGACACTTTGGAGCACCGTCCGTTGCTGACGGCTGGCTACAAGTGTATTTTGCACATTCACACGGTTGCGCAGGAGTGTATTGTTGCGAAATTGCTCCGCCCTATTGACCCGAAGACGGGCAAGCCGGTGAAAAAGCATGTGGCTTTCATTAAGCAGGGCCAAGCCGTTGTGTGCCGGATTGAGGTGGAACAGAGCATTACGATTGAGACGTTTGCGACCATGCCTCAGCTCGGTCGTCTCACTCTTCGTGACGAGGGTAAGACAATTGCTATTGGCAAGGTGCTGGCCCTGGAGAAGTAAGTGATGGCAGTTTGAGCAGCATGAAGAGGAGCCAAATGTGCCCACAGAACCAGCGCAGCTCTATCGCCTCGCTATACACTCGGTGCATGAATTACTGCTCAGCGCTGGATGTCTAGCATCAGCTGGGGGCAAGTTAAAGAAGGAGAAATGCATGTAGCTGGTTTTCTTCTTTGTGGTCCTTCATACTGTTTGTCTAGGTCGTCTACTATCACCAACCGCGTTGCGCGCAATACTGCTAGGCTCCGACAACTGCTTCCGACATTTGGTCTCGGACGATGGCAAAGATTGCGACCATCGATGCGAGCTGTAGTTCCTCCGTGGTGCCATTCGACAGGCGATGCTCGAGCTTAGCCAGCTCGTCGTACAAATACATGCGGGAGCGCGGTGGCAGCTCCAGATCCATTGTGTAGCGGTACACGTCCTGAAGGATATCGCTCGTGGCGTAGCCCTTGATCTTCTGCATCTCGGCGCACTTGTGCACGGCTGTAGCAAACTTCTCGTTGAAGAGCCACTGAACCATCAACTCAATATCCTTCGGCAGCGGATTACCCGTGCAGAAGTAGACATTGGCCTCGTCAACAATATCGTATGCCATAGACGTTGCCTGCAGAATATTGAGAATGCGACGCATGTCTCCCTGGCCTAGACGCAGAATAGCTTTGAACCCGTCGTCCGTCATGTTCAATCTGGAGTCACGCAGTACGAGTGAAGCAATGCACGACACCAGTTATAAAACATCGCACAATCCCATGATCAAGTACAAACGGTAACTTACTTCTCTAGCTCTGCAATGTGCTTGATGCGGCCACTCACTTGGCTCTCTTCGAGCGGCGCAAAGCGGAAGCGCGTGCACCGCGACTGCAGTGCTGGAATGATCTTGCTCACGTAGTTGCAAATGAGGCAAAACCGCGCGTTCTTCGTGTACTTTTCAATAACGCGTCGGAGCGAGAACTGAGCGTCATTGGTCATGGAATCAGCTTCGTCCAAGATAATGAGCTTCACGCCCTGACTAAAGAGCTTCTTCGTGCCCGCAAACTCCTTAATCTGATTCCGCACAACATCAATCCCGCGGTCGTCGGATGCATTGAGCTCCAGCACCATCGACCCATAGTTTTTTCCATACAGTCTCCGCGCCGCTGCAATAATCATAGACGTCTTGCCTGTACCAGGCGGTCCATAGAACAGCAGATGGGGCAGCTTCTGTGCATCAATAAGGCGGTTGAGCGTCGCGATGATGTTCTGGTGTGCGATCAAATCCGACAGAGACGACGGACGGTACTTCTCGACCCACGGCCACGTCTCAGTCGACCGATTCCGTGACGAAATGCCCTCGAACGCAGGCTCGGCGTCCTTCATCTCGACGTCCGACATGTTGACAGTGTGTTGGATGGCAAATCAATCATCGCAGTGTGTTCATTGGCTGAAATACATTCTAGCCAATGCCAAGCTTCACGCATGTCTCGCGCAACTGCTCGACTCGGAGCTGATTAAACTGGTAAACGTCATATGACATTCGATGAGTAAGAAGCAATCTCGAAAGTATCCGCGAAGATGCGACAGAAATTGTGCCACCTGAAACGCCACGGCCGTCAGTTCTAAATTAGCTCAAAAGCCCTCAGAACTCGTTTTTTTCTTCCGTTCCTTTAGTCAAAATGTCAACTTCCGACCCGCAGATTGAGAAGCTCCAGGAACAAATCCACAGGGGAGCAGAAGAGACCAAGTCGTATCTCGCCTTGGTACGTCCGACGTCCTCATTCGTATCATTGTCTCTGGTTTACGTTACTAACAAATGTGATGTTTTCCCTCGTGTCTTTAGCTCAAGGAACAACTCGCCGAGTACGATGCCCAGTACAGTGTATCCGAGACTGCCAGCTCGTTCCTGCAGGCAGCTATCGAGCGCACGCACAAGTCGGTGGATGAACTGAAGGAATTGGGCGAGACGCTCAAGGAAAAGTCCAAGAACTCGTCGGCACCTGTCGTGGACGCGGCCAAGGTCTCATTCAGTAAGGTGCAGGCGGCCCTGGACGGCCTTAAGGAACGTGGCCGCAGCTACGACGACAAGGTTCGTGCTAGTGTCACGAGCTCTGTGGACTCGGTCAAAGGCGGCGTGTCCTCGGCCACGAGCTCCGTGTCCACATCCATTGAGCACATTGTGGTGGCTACGCGAGAGCGCAGCAGCTCGAGCTTTGAGCAGCTCAAAGAGACGCTCTTTAGCGCTGGATACGGTGCCTACGTGGCTGCTGGTGGCATGGTACGCAAGGCGGAGGAGCTGGACGGTCGGTATGGTGTTGTGGACACTGTCTCGGGCGTGGTAGGTGCAGTAGCTGGCAAGGTGTCGGATTTGGATCGTGCGTTGGGCGTGTCGGCTACAGCCATGAAGGTGGACGACAAGGTGACGGGTGGTATCGGTATGGACCTTACGAACAAGGGCATCGAGCTTGTCAACAGCTCGGTGGAGTACGTGACCGACGCGCTGCAGCAGGCCAAGAAGGCAGCGGCTGAGAAGTCAAAGGAAAAGGAGCCGAAGGCGTTTGATGGCACTGCGGACGTAAGTAAGGCAAGCCCGAAGGACATGTAAGCTTGTTGGGGTAAGCCTATTTGGCCATTTGCCATCTGTGCTGATCTATAGCTACATCAACACATTGATTCGAACGCTCTTGTGGGTTTTACGAATGCTGAAGTCGTTGTGATGGAAAGTTGTTGTTGAAGCCGAGACCTGAACTTCGACTTGTTGATTGAAGGCCTTGCTAGCAGCTGATTATGACAACTTCTAGCTATGGATGGCTGATTCCGTTAGGTGTTTTTGCTGCTACACTATCTATCGCATTTATTACGGATCTGTACAACTTCGTCCTCTTCGTTAATAGACACAGGACGAGTACTTGAAAGGATTGGTCTTGCGATCAATCTGGATGAACTCTGGAGGTGCAGCCGAATGAAGGCGCAATGGATGCCTTGTTCAAGCTCGCAAGTAAAAGCCAAGTTCCGATGTTGTCAACTACGTGACAGCGATGCAAAGCAATGGTGAGTACCATGCCATCAGGGAACCCCAAGCAGTTGCAGAGATGTTCAGATTCTCAGAGCTATTTGAAAAAAAAAGCTCCATGCGACAGCTCCTGTCACTTCGCCGGACAAGCTTCTTGTTATCAAGCGAGCATGTGACTTCGTGACTCGTTATCAACTTGTCGTCACCCGCTACATCTCGAGGACTCAATACGAACGTGGACTAAAGCGTCACGGAACAAAACTCTTGTCGACCCACGGCGATGAGTGCATTGCCTGATGGTGCCCATTGGATACCTCGAGCTTGAAACGACTCTGCAGCCAGCATCGTGCAAGCACAGAGTTGTAAGTATGCTGACATCCCAAACCAGTACTTGAGGATTGAGACTTACTTGTAGGTATGTCGACCCAAGACATGCCTTCAATTGTCCAAAGGTGCACGCGATTTTCTCCTGATGTGATTGCAAGGCGGGTATGCATCGGATCCCACCGTAGGCTTTTCACCGACTGGAGCAGTGAGACGGTCGCATGGAGCGTCAGGCTCTCTGTGCGCCAGATCCAGACGTTAAATGGCATCTGATCGCTTTTAGTTGCGATGAACGCAGAGTCGGCACTCCAGACCACACGACTGATACCAATTCTAGGGTTGTCTGCCCTGCAGAATGACGCAAGCAGTTCGTCAGCAGTGTATCACCAGCAAGAAAGAACCGATCAGCTGGGATATCAATGATACTCGTACAGTGGATCCGAGGTAATCGTCCGAACTGAAAAAGGAGGGTAGCGGGTCACGAAGCTGATGTCACGACTTTGTTTCCCACCTCCAGCTTCGGCTGCTGCTGATGCTGCCTGGAGAGAGTTGGAAAGCAGCGAAGAGCCAGACTGCATGATTGCAACACGTTTGCCTTGTGGTCGATCCATGACATTGGCATCCGCAAAGTTTTCTTCGTATTCTGTCTACACGTTGCAGTGTAATGAAGAACAATCGTTCATTAGATGGACAATCAGCCACAAGTCAAAACGCATCAAGTCTCTTACCGCTGCCTGATTCGTGTGGGAGCTCATGAGAGCAACACTTTCGTGGTCAAAGTCTGCGACCGGCTTCCAATGAAGATGACTCAGTACGCGCAAATGTTCATCGTAGCTCCCCAAAGCAAGAAACTGGCCAGAGGGGGACCACGCCATCGTCTTCAACCCCAACGCATTCGCATACGCCTACGTCCAAGAGTCCAAAGTGGTGGTTACTAAATGCTCGGACCTGATAATGTCCCAACTGCTCCACCCAGTGCATGTCAACAACCGTCTACCTGAAACTTTGCCCGTAACGTGCCATCGGGTGAATAGAGCAGCACCCGAAACTCCAAGTGGGTATCCCGCACTGCAATTGTCCTGCAATAAAAGGTGAGAACCAGTGCTCATACCCTCCATAACTCTTCCAATTGTGCACCCACGTACGCATCCTCCGGCGACCACTCGATTGCGACACAATCGTAACTCTCAATCGAGAAATGGGCCGTTAACTCCCAACTCGCGCAGCTGTAGATGCCAATAAAGTCCTTTCAACGAACGATCAAGCGTCAGTTCGTATCACCAACCGGTACGATTCCAACCCATTGCATCCATATCCTGTACCTTGCAGTCATGCCGCTCAGCAACTGCCAGGAACTCGCCATTTGCCGAAAAGCTCAGTCCATCCGCCGCTAATTTCGGATTCTGGATCATGTGCCTAACTGTCGAATCTTCCAGAGACCACACGGTAGCATGCAGCTGGAAGTCCGATACAGTGACTACATGACGGGCACCAGGCGTCCATCTCGCATGGACCAATCCTGCAACCCCTTCGGATACTTTGCATCTCCAGGATGGGTCTTGGACGGACCAAATTTGCACCACTGCACGTTTGTGTGCAGCCGTGAGCACGAATTGCGAATCACTGGACCAAGCCAGAGACTGCACGTCGTTTAGCGTAAGATATCGCTGCACGGTTTCTAGCGATTGAACGTCCCGGATCACCAGACGGTTATTGCTGACTGCAGCCACGTACCGACCACATGGAGACCAGCGCACAAGACCGAGCGTCACGTCCATGGGCGTGGAAACCTGCGACATGAGATTCCCGATCAAATGTGAGCAAGGGCAGGAAAACAACTTGACTGGAAATCGATTTGTCAATCTATTGGTCATGGCAAAGGTGTGATGCCTCGGCGTCATCACTGTATAAGCGCTGCCCTGTTCCTGGCACTTGTCGCTTCATACTGGTGGTCGCAGTGCTTAGGCTACTTACCCAAGTAACAAAAGCCTCCACCTGCTTGTTAAGACCTGGTCATGTTACTAGCTCAAGAAGCCCGCATCCATCGTCGTTTAGATCTCCCCAGTCGGATACTCCGTGCGCTGCCTCTGCCGCTGCTGCCCCCTCTCCAGCTCGTCCACTTCTTTCTCCAGCAACAGCAACTTCTTCCTCTTCAGCAGCTTAAAAAACTGCTGCGACTCGTCCGACTCGTGGCCTTCACTAAACAACTTGAGCGCCAGCTCGTCCTCCTGCAGGTCGTTCTTCCGACGCATCTCACTCACCAATTGCTGCTGCACAACAGTCAAGTTGTCGTCCGTCGTTGCCACCTCCAACCCAGCAGCACTTGCGCCTCCTTTTGTCGAAAGTCCGGACCCCAGTGCCTTCATAACCCCCGGACTCTCCTTCTTCACGGCCCCAGCCACCGCTAGCACCGGAGCCTCGCACTCGATAACAGCTCGACTAGGAGGTACAAACTCCGACACGACCGCTGCAGCTTCCACTGGGTTGGCGTCCTCTGCAGCTGCAGCATAAAGCACGCACCGCGTCTCACCTACGTCATCGTGGACCTCCTCGTCTCCGCCCCGTCTGACCTCCACACTCTTCCGCACGATCTCCCAGCAGCTCAGGAACTCAAAGTCTCGGCCTTTCCTCGCTCGGAAGTCACTCATCGCGCGCTCGAGAGCCACGTCCTGGACACTGGCGCCCTCAGCTTCCAGTCGATCGAGGCACTCGACGAACGCCTTCACTTCTTGCACCATGAGGACCCACCGATTGCGCAGCGCCCGCACGCTCCGCGCGCTCTCGATGCGGCTTCGAACGGCGTCCCAGAACGACGGACCTTCTTTCACACCGGCAGACGCGACGGCCGTGTACGCCGCAGCTAATTCCACGTCCTCGTCGCGCCGCCACTTTTTTCCACGGCCCATTTTTGCTTTTTTTTAGTGTACAGGCTCGAATAGAGAGAGAGAGAGAAAAGGAGGAGGAGGTAGGGGAGATATGACGAGACGCGGCGAGACGTACTCAGACATCTGAGTCGGTGGTGTTTGTTGTTCAGTTTGTGGAGTAGTTTTTTGTTTGTTTTGTTCAATCGCGCGCATCGTTTAACGCTGCAGCTGATGTTGGCAACCAGATTTTATACTCGAACAGCGCCACTCACGCCACTCCCTTTGATCTAAAGAGAGCGAGCATATGGATCTTCTTCTTCTTCTTCGGACTTGCGAACGTGGCCGTCTTAAATCACTTTTTGATGACGATATCGTGATGCGATTATTTTGCGACGCAAGCCCTGCGTGGAATCGAACGCTTTCCACCTCATGATTATGCCTTGACAGTCTGGTCTCGACGGGGTATCGATGAACGTTCTATTCGGCTGAACGCAAAACGTACCGACGGCTGTATCCTTGTTTCTTGCGTGTACGGTGCAAGTTGTGAATACTACACGAAACATCTTCAAGTCACTTGCAAAAACCTCAGCGATCTTACTGTCCCGTCATTTCTCAATATCAAAGAAGGATTATCTCAGGGGACGAGGTGTTGGCTTGAGTTTATTTGACACATACGTTTTTGAAGTACAATAATCCAGATGTGGACTGAAGTCCTGCGGTTCAATGAAGCGCAAAGCTTGGTTGTAACGGGGCACCCTGAAGCTTGTACTGATGGCAGTACAAGCTACTTACGACAGAATAAGGCGGTGCCTAGGAACTTCACGTACACTGGTACGTGCAGAGGAAGACGGTAAGAAGAAGCGAGTACTTGGATAAAGTAAAAAGTAGAAACTGTATTTGTAATAGTCGATGTCTGTAATAAATCACTATTTATCCTCATCTAACTGTGTCTAAATACAAATGTGTATATCAACTATCTGCTCACCACTCATTGCGTGTGTCTGTCGTGGCGCGTCTTCGTTGGTTGATATAATGGCCTATATCAACCAATTAGGAACTACTCGTAAGTGCTACAGAATATTTGTCCTTATGACAATATTCTGAGAATATAACTCTTATAGTTATATTCTATTAACAATTTCTTATAAATTGTAATGTAACGATTCACCCCGTTACATCACCCATCCCTTAACCATCGGTCACTTTAGTGACTGATTGACTAAATGGATACTCGTCTCAAATCATTTGGGACAGGGTTTGCACTTGTTGGTCCGAGTCCACTTTCCAGCAATTCATCGCATGGTTAACAAGCCCATGCGATGCGCGAGCAAGGCCGCCGAGAGCGCGTCCGCACGTCTCTGTGCGGACGCCGAAGCAGAAACCACAGCAACTGATGTCTCATCGGTTGCTGAAGCGACTCAGCCTGTGTCACTTGGTGATGCAGGCGCTCGTCATGAAGACACTCATGTCTTTACAGAGTATGAGCTCGGTGTCTCATGCTCTCCTGATACGGAAGACGGATCCGTATCGACGGCGATCGAAACCAAGCCGCCTGCCAAGCGTGGCATGGATGATGCTATGCGCCGCAGCATCTTTGGTTCATCTGATGAATCAGATGAACCATCGCCGAAGCGAAGGCGCTCGAGGTCGCGAGACTCGGGCGCTCACAGTGGTGTCGGTTCTCATATTGACACCACTTCGCAACGAGGTGCCAGTCCTTCTGTCGGCACATCGCAGGAAGAGCGGGGCCACAATGTGTTGCGTCTCGCTCCCGAGAAGAAGGCATGGATGCCTCCCAAATCTGTTATGGATCACTTGTCGGCGACGACGAGTGATCGTTATCGAACACGGTTGTTCGATTCGTCAAGGATTCATCACCTTGACCCCAGCGCGAAAAACTATCGCGCTGAAAACGAATTCTTCATCGATGCTTTCTTTAGACATCGATGGTACAGTGGAAAGCACAAGCGTGATGGTCCCTCACTACTTCAAGCGTGGAACGCCTACATCCATAACCTTGAAGATGTAGGTCGTGACGCTTGGAACGACAAACTTATCAAAGCTCGTGATAAGTTTGAAAAGCGAACCCCGACAGGTTCACGCTACAAGCTGCATCGTCTGTCAAGGGAGAAAGGATTACCCTGCCTCTCTTGGGGAGACTCGTGCCCATGTTGTGTGAACAATTCTGCACGAGCACCTAAGGAGGCTTACCTCCTTACTAGCCCGTGGTGGCGCGTACGCATCACTACTGAGATGTACGAAGGGATTGACAACCTGAAATCCCTTTACGACCGTGCCGGGAAGACTTTCTCCAGCGGTCCTTCTGCGGCACAGGATGTGCCGCATCGTACTGCTCAACCAAACCCAGTACGTCAACCATCAGTTGGGAGCGGGGCTCCCAAGTATCCCAGGACGGGGGATAGCCGCGCCACCGGACGAGATAACTCGTCCGACGTCCGTTCACGTCGCGGTGGTTCAACAACTGCTCAACCAGATAGCGCTGTCCACCACGAGAGTCCTCTAATGGAGGTGGAGGAGGAGGGAAAACGCTATCCAAACTATCGTGGGGAAGCGTGTGTTCCCGAGAGCTTCTTTGATCGCGTAACGCAAGGGTTACGCAACGATCCCGAGCATGAGCGGGACAGGCGTCTCCAAATGGCGGACACTGTCTTGAAGCATCGAGCTGAGTTTGCCTTTGCTCAGCTTGAGAAAGAGAGAGCTCTGACATCTCTTCGTGACGAGCTAAGGGTAGCTCGTGGGATTGTTGATCTGTCTCGGGATGAGATAGCTGCTCTTCAGACCCTTGTCGATGCCCACCATCGGGAGCACAAGGCTCTCTGCGATATGCTTGAGCGCAAGGGCGTTCTTCATCGGAAGAAGCAGCGTACTGATGGTACGGCTTAAGCCGACCAACGTAAAACGTGGGATTCGTTCGCATCTTACGTGGCAACTCGATCGTGTATGCATTGCCTAGGCGGTGCAATACACGAAATGGGCCGATGTACTTGGGTAGTAGTTTACTGCTACCCAAGTTAGTCACTACATGCTTTGGTAGGTTAACCGTAGACAGTAGGACTAAGTCACCTTGATTAAATAAAATAGTGTTTTGCCCTTCCATTCTTGTCAGCGTTTTGCTTTTGCTTATCCACCGCTTCGGCGATGGAGTCTTGCACAAAACGGACTACCGTTTCACGAGCCAGTATGAACTCATCTGGTGACTCGTTAGCTTCAGTGCGCTGTGAGTGCACTGCAGCAACATCAATCGTTTCTTCAGTGAGGGCTTCCGCACTCTCACTGGCCTCATCTTCTTCGATATCGATGTTATCGATATCGGCATCAAACGCAATGACCTCTTCGTCAGAGCGTGATGAGCGTGAACCAAATCGGTTTTTGCTCGCGCGAGTCTCCCCCCCCTTAAACCAGAGTTACACTCTAGTAAGGTGGGTACACGCGGATGGCGTAAGCCATTCACGTAAAACGGTGTATGTGTCGTGGACGCATGCACCGAGTTGTTTATGGCAAACTCTACCATTGGCAAAACCTCCATCCAACTCTTAAAGGAGTGTACGTATCCTCGAAGTATCTCTCCAAGGACACGGTTGGCTTGCTCCGTCTGACCATCTGACTCTGGATGATCAGATGTCGACATCTTCAAGCGCGTTCCGAGTGATTTGAACACGGAACGCCAGAAACCAGCAGTGGAGCGTGGATCTCTGTCTGATACGAGTTCACGGGGCAACCCGTGAAGTCGGAAGATGGTGTCGATAAAGACACAAGCACAGCCACTTGCTGTAAATGACTCGGGTACAGCCACAAGGTGTACCATTTTGCTTATTCTGTCAACAAATACGAGAATACCCGTATTCCCGTGCGCGTCTTTGGGTAACTCGAAGACGGAATCCATTGAGATGGATTCCCAGCACTCAGCCGGAACCGGTAGAAGCTGTAAAGGTGCACGCAGTGAAGGACTTGACTTCGCTCGTTGACAGACTTCGCAAGCGCGAACATACTTTCGCACAAACTGATACTGGCGGGACCAGTAAAAGTCTCGACTCACCGTGAGGTATGTCTTCTCCCGGCCACGATGTCCTCCTATAGGATCATCGTGATACTCGAACATGATCCGCAAACGCAGATCAGTATCTTCTGGAATGACAACACGTGGTGTGTCACCAGAAACGGCTGTATAATACAGTAACCCGTTGCGAGTAGTGTATCGATCTGATGCAGATCGATACGCAGACGATAATCGTTTCAACGATTCTCGAGAAGGTTGTGAGAGATGTGTCAACAACTTCACAATCTCATCATCTTGGGCATACGCCCTCCTAACATCATCATGTAACGTTGTAGATGGTATTGTGGACGTCATAACCGCAACAGTGGCTGTCTCACTGTTGAATTTCACGACTGGTTCAAAGTCGGGCCGACGTGAGAGTGCATCAGCGACGACATTAAGTCGTCCTGGTTTGTACTCGACCGTAAAGTTGTATTATGCAAAAGATGACAACCACCGGGCCATTCGTTGTGGAAGGTGCGGGCTGTTTGCTGCCGTGCGTAATGACGCATGGTCTGTGTAAACAATGAAGGGTCTATCTCCTAATAGATAGACTCTGAACTTCGCGAGTGCATACTTCATGGAAAGGAGTTCCTTGTCATTCACTGGATAGTTCCGCTCAGCTGGTTGCAGCTGACGCGACTGACAGAAGACGACGCTTTTAACGCCTTCAAGATCGTACTGCATTATTGCACAACCGATTGCAAAATCGCTGGCATCACAGACCACATGAAATGGCCTGTCCTGATCGGCTATTGCTAGGGTTAGGGATTGTATCAAGCTCTGCTTGATACCATCAAAGGAGCGCTGACATTCAGCGTTCCATAACCACCTCTCGTCCTTTTTCAGCAAACGAGAGAGGTGCACAGTCATCTCGGCGTAATTGCGTGAATACTTATGCAAATACGCCGCTAGCCCAAGGAATTTTCGAAGACCTTTGACATCAACCGGCACAGGCCAGTCGGTGACCGCCTTCATCTTTTCGAGATCAGGACGTACACCGTTCTTACCAACGATGCAACCAAGAAGTGGTATTTCGCTTGCTGCAAATATACACTTCTTGAGATTTGCATACAATTGATGCTTTCGCATGATTGTAAGAACCTGTCGGACATGGTACCTGTGAACCTCAACGTCCGACTTTCCATCCATAGCCCGACTATGGATGAACACGTCATCGAAATAACTCGGCGCGAATTCTCGTACCGGTCTCAACAGATGTGATACACATCTGTTGAATGTGGCAGGGGCATTACTAAGCCCTTGTGGCATTACTAGCCATTCCCAGAGCATGTCGCTAGGCGTGCTAATTGCGGTATAGGGTAGATCCCGTTCTCGCATAAGGATTTGATAGAAGCCATCCATCAAATCCATGGACGAAAAGATGGTACTCTTTGACATACCATCAATGATTACATCCTTCCTTGGTATCGGCGTCTGAGCCGGTACCGTTGCAGCATTCAACTTGTAAAATGCATGCACAATCCGCCACCCTTCTGTGGCCTTTCGCACACAGAAGGTCGGAGAGCTATGTGGGGATGTTCATTCCCTCACATGGCCCGCAGCTAAACGATCGGCAAAGAACTTGTCGATCGCAAGTACTTGTTCCCGAGGCAGTGGCCACTGCTTCATGACACAGTACTTCGAGCCTGGTTAAAGCTCGACCTCGTGTCGAGTACCTTAATCCTTGGGCAGCTCGCATGGCACGGATTTCTGGAATACATCCTTGAATTCAACCAAAGTTTCATAGAGAGGATTTGTCTTGAGCGATTCCCACGATTGGGAGTCATATCGCTCAATTCGTGTCTTTTCATCCAGGACACTCTCGTCCATAGATGAACTACTGAGAACTCTCTCGTTCTCAGTAAACACTGTTGCTGACCTTATGTCGGATACGCACTCGTCGTCAGCGACGAGTACGCAGATCTGCTTGACTTTGCCACTACGCAGATCACGCAAGAACCTTTTTTGTTCGAGCGTTGGAAACTGAGTGATCTCCGAAGTCAACTTCGGAGGCGCAATCAGATCAAGTGTGTAAGCGCCCACACTTGATCCGTTATTGACTATGACATTCAATGTCTCTGTCATTTCCTGGGGACTTATTCCCTCAGGCCTCGACGGAATTATTCCTTCGGCTTTCCGGGGACTTATTCCCGCGGGTTTCGGGGAACTTATTTCCGCCCTATTTGTAATGTGGGGACTTATTCCCTTAACTTCCTCTAGTTGGGATTGCGCAACCACAGCAAGATCCTCTACGAAAGACTCTCCAGTTGATCTAGGATTAGCTTTCGCTTAACCTGAGCGATCGATTGTTTCTCTTCTAGATGTTCCCCGCTAGGGATACATCTTTGTCCCAGTCCACCCGACTTATTCGAGTGGTGGACCTTCGGCGCAGCCTGTGTTTCCTCACAGCCGCCGGAACTTTGCTCCGAAGTGTAACCGTTTGTTACACTAAGGTTTTGTGCAGTCGTACTAACGACCGTACCACAAGTGAGGCCATCGCACTCACTCGTAGTACATCCACAAGCTGGTGGACGCTCCAAAACGTTCATCAGATGGCCATCTGATAAACAAGCGGCAGGCATCGTTACTGTTCGATGTTGCCAGTTTACTCGTGGTTCGTACCTTCTGAGCCACGGTATTCCAAGGATGACATCAAATTTGTCATCCAAATCCAATACGATAAAGTCATCGTCATATTGGGTATCTTCTAGCGTATAGTGGATCTTCACTATACGCTTCATGACGGCTACGGATGCGCCTGTCGCAAGACGTACCGTCATCCTCGTAGGAGGTATGTCACATTCACTAAACTTGAAGTAACCATCTTATAGCGATTGGCGTCGCACAAAATTGTTAGACGCCCCACAATCGACTAGAGCTCGAAGGGACAACTTATTCGTCACTTCGAGTTTCAAGGTAATGAGTGAGATCTCATTACCTAGAACAGCAACGCACAACGTTTGTGTGTTGGGAGCAACCTTCATCAAGAGGCCTACAAATTCTCTTGACGTTGCTGGAACAGTAGGGTGCTCCGGACCTACTGATCCTGTCCGTTTTTTGACGGTCCATCCCGTTGTTGCGTCTTTGCACCAACAGCGGACCCTCGTCCCTGCCCCTTTCTCATGGGTGGACGGTCACTACGCCGAGTGTTGCGAGACACTGGACGAGGGGCACTACACTCGTAAGCGTAGTGTCCTGCCTTCTGACATCTGTTGCATCTCTGCAACTTCTTGTAGTTTGTAGAGCGAGCCTTCTCGCTCTCTACATAACAGAGTTCCATCGGCTCTGGACCTCCGCTGTCATATCGTCTCGGTTGACGATATGATGTCGAGCTGGCGCGAGCCTGTCTCAGACTGAAGTCTTCCTGCTCCGCAATGGAAATGGCTTGTTCTAGTGAATCCAGTTCAAGCCGGAACAGGTGAGTCTTGACGGGACCATCCGCAAGACCCTGCATGAACACCGAAACCAACGTGTGTTCATCTACCGGGTTGGAACTTATACAACTCTTGAGATGTCGTGTATGTTGCGCGTAAGCGTGCACATCACGCTTACCCTGTTTGGGCTTCAAGAGTTCGGTTCGAGCTCTGAACTCAGCTCTAGGCGGTTCAAACGTTTGTCTGAGCCGCGACTTGAAGACTTCTAACGACCCAAACGCATATGGGTCGTGCAACTTGAGCCCCAGTGCCCAAGTCTTGGCACGTCCTGCCAGATTTGACTGGGCAAATGCAACTTGCATATCCCCGTCGTCGATCCGACTCGCCCTTATGGCGTCATCCAATTCGACGAACCATCTCAAGAGGGAGCCCTCTTCGACTCCCCTATACTTGGAGATGTCAATCTTCAAGATCTCGGGTCGACGCGAATGCATCGACCCACCAGCAGCAGCCTGCTGCTGTATCAACAGTTCAAACTGTTGAGCACCCTGTTCTTTCGACAACTCTGCTTGTTGAGAACCTTGTTGGTGAAGCAAGGCTACTTTCTCGCGTTCAGCATCAAGTTCATTTTGAATGAACTTGGCGATAGTATCATGTTGTGCATCTCTATTGAGAGCCTCTAGCATGACGCTAACAGCATGGATGCCCATGGTTGAACCCATCCGTTCAACCGCATCCCATTAGACATCGCTCAAATGGGAGTAGCCGTCACGCGTAGCGTGAAAGCTTTGGTCATTTTCATCATCCAACATATTTATGTTAGATGTGAACGTGGTCCTTGGACGGACTACGACGTGCTACCAGGTGTATAGGGGCACCCTGAAGCTTGTACTGGTGACAGTACAAGCTACTTAATCTGATGACAGAATAAGGCGGTGCCTCGTAACCTCACGTACACTGGTACGTGCAGAGGAAGACGGTAAGGTGAAGCGAGTACTTAGATTAAGTAAAAAGTAGAAGTGTATTTATAATAGTTAATGTCTGTTAATAAACCACTGTTTATCCTCATCTAACTATGTCTAAATACAAATGTGTATATCAACTATGTGCTCACCACTCATTGCGTGCGTCTGTCGTGGCGCATCTTCGTTTGTTGATATAATGGCCTATCTCAACCAATTAGGAACTATTCGTAAGTGCTGCAGAATATTTTTCCTTATTGCAATATTCTGAGAATACAACTCTTATAGTTATATTCGATTAACAATTTCTTGTAAATTGTAATGTAACGATTCACCCCGTTACAGACGGGCTGTAACGGGGTAGCCCGTTACATGATATTGGCACCCAACGGTGTCAATAGGGAGATTGTCTAGCGTGATAATTTCTTATGAATACTATTTGAGATGAATCAGATTGAAGGAATATAATGCCCTTTTAGGATAATGTTCATGAGCTGCTCAAGATTGGTTGATAAAGACATAACAACCAAGGTTACCACCAATCGCCTCTAGACGCGCGTTACGAGTGGTGATCTGGTTGTCGTCATACGACAATGTAGGTTATTATAGCTAGATAAAGACTGAAGTTGTATTGATAGCTTAACCATGTTAAACACGGCTCTCTTTTTACCTTTTACTCAAACTAGCTATTTGCGTAGACTGGCCTCCTCTGCACGTACTAGTGTACGTGAAGTTTCGTGGGACCACAAACAAAGGCCCCGTTACACCTGGTAGCACTTTGTAGTCCGTCCAACGACTACTTACTGTCATTCCAACATGAACATGTTGGACGTAGAAGACGACAGCTTTCACGTCACACGTGAAAGCTACTCCCATCCGAGTGAATTAGAATGGGAGGTAGTCGGCCGCATGAGTGTGCTCATGGGCGAACCCGCCATCCGTGGCATGTAGGAATCTCTAAGCAGAGACCAGCAACATGATGCTTTCAACAAGTTCATAGAAGGGTAATTCGCCGTTGAACGACAGAAGATAGCCTTGATACAGCAGCAAGGCTCTAATCAGTCAATGAGCGGTCCGACGCACATGCGTCGACCCGAAACCTTGAAGATTGATATCTCAAGGTACAAGGGAACCGGTGGAGATTCATTTTAGAGATGGTTCGTCAATTTAGACGATGCCATCAGGGCCCGTCACATCAAGGGTGACGAGATGCAAGTCACTTTCGCCCTGTCAAAACTGACAGAGCGAGCAAATACTTGGGCCTTAGGGCTCAAGCTTCACGACTCAAGCGTGGTTGAGTCGTTGGAGATCTTGAAGTCTCGGCTTGAAGAGAGGTTCGAGCCGCCGAGAGACGAGTTCAGAGCACGCTCTACAATCTTGAGGCTAAAGCAAGGTAAGCGTGCCGTGCACGCTTACGCACAGCACCTGCGCTACCTTGCGAGTAGCTTTACGGAGAACCCTGTTGATGAGCACACGCTCATCAACGCGTTCATCTACGGCCTAGGGGATGGGCCGGTGAAGACCTACATGTTCCGAGAGGGCTTCCATACACTGGAAAAGGCGATAGCGTATGCGAAACAAGAATACTTTAGCCTGAGACAGTTTCAGGATAACTCGTCAAACTATCGTCCGACGAGACGACAGGAAACTGGAGGTCCCAATCAATGGACCTCTGTTACATCGAGAGCAAGAACTCTCGCTCTCTGAGTCACAAGCGAACGGAAGATGTCATCGGTGTAAAAAAAGTGGACACTACGGTCAGAAGTGTATTGTCCTAAGCACCGCATCACGTCCAAAGACAGGACGTGATGACCGCCGTTGGCCGGAAAAGTTCCAAGGCGCGGGTCCAACCATGTCGCTAAACTGCGACAGCAAAAAATTGGACCTCCAAAAAGCGGCCAGGGTCCGTAGGCGGAGCACCCGGATGATCCAGCAACGTCAAGAGAATTTGCAGGACTCTTGACGGAGATTTCTCCCAACACACATTCGCTGTGTGTTACTGTCCCTAGTGATGAAGTGTCCCTCATCAATTTGAAGATCAAAGTGACAAGTGGAATGTCACTTCGCGCCCTAGTTGACTGTGGGGCGTCGAGCAGTTTTATTCGACGCCACTCGCTAGAAGCTAGTAGACTCAACTATGTTTAGCGAGAGATCCCTCCAACGAGGATGACGGTGTGCCCTGCGACAGGCGCATCAGTAACAGTGAACGAACGTGTAGTGGGAATCCACTACACGCTGGAAGGAAAGCCGTACGATGATGACTCCATTGTACCGGATTTGGATGACAAATATGATGTCATCCTCGGTCTTCCATGGCTTAGAAAATGCCAGCCATGGATCAGCTGGCAGCATCGATCCGTGAAGAATCCTGCCGTTTGCTCATCAGATGACCATCTAGTGAAAGTCTTGGAGCGTCCACAAGCGTGTGGATGTACTACTAGTGAGTACGATGGCCTCACTTTTGGTACGGTCGTTTGTATGAATGCACAAGATCACAGTGTAGAAGGCCACTAAAATGTGGAATCAGCTTCCGTCACCTGTGTAGAAACACAGGCTGCGCCGAAGGTTCACCCCTCGAAGAGATTGAGTGGACTGGAACACGGATGCACGACAAGAAGGGTGCATCCAAGAAGAGAGGTTAGTGTTGTTAAGGATAAATAACACATTGGAGAGAGATCGACTATCAGAGAGTCGATCGTAGAGCAAGCCCGATCGACTAAAAAAGAGTCGATCGAAGAGAACGTGACTGTGGTAGTGCACCCACAGTCAAAACACGTATTGAAAGAAATATCCAGCATTCCTGGGAGCAATAACTCCCGAGGGAGTTATGTTGAGGGTGTGGATCCCCAACAACCTGCGGATGTTTTTTTTCAGGAAATCACCGAGACAGTGAATGTCCTGGTGATTGACGGATCAAGTGTAGGCGCTTATACACTTGATCTGGTTACGCCCCCGAAGTCAGCTTCGGAGGTAGTCAAGTTGCCAACGCTAGAATATAAAAGATTCTTGCGAGATCTGCGTAGTGACAAGATCAAGCAGATCTGCGTACTCGTCACAGAGAACGAGTACGTCACCGATATGCGGTCGGCACAAGTGTTTGCTGACAACGAACGGTTTCTCAGTAGCTCATCTGTGGACGAGAGTGTCCTCGATGAGAAGACTCGGATTGAGCGATACGCGTCTCAATCTTGGGAGTCTCTATAGACAAATCCTTTGTATAAGGATTTGGTGGAATTCAGGGATGTTTCCCGGAATCTGTGCCATGCGAGCTGACCAAGGACAAAGGCACTCGGCATGAGATCGAACTGAAACCTGGTTCGAAATACTGCGTCATGAAGCAGTGGCCACTGCCTCGTGAACAGGTCACAGCGATCGACAAATTCTTCGCCGATCGTTTAGCGGCTGGTCATGTGAGGGAATGAACATCCCCACACAGCTCTCCGACCTTCTGTGTGCGAAAGGACACAGAAGGGTGGCAGATAGTGCACGCGTTCAACAAGCTGAACGCTGAAACGGTACCGGCTCAAACGCCGATACCAAGGAAGGATGTCATCATAGATGGTATGGCAAAAAGTACCCTCTTCTCGTCCATGGATCTGGTAAATGGATTCTATCAGTTCCTCATGCGTGAACGGGAAATCTTTTACACAGCAGTGAGCACCCCCCCAGTGGTATGCTCTGGGAGTGGCTAGTGATGCCGCAGGGGCTAAGTAACGCCCCTGCAACGTTCAACAGATGTGTTACGAATCTGTTGCGATCGGAGAGCGATTTCGTACCGAGTTACTTTGACGATGTCTTCGTCCATAGCCGGGCTGTGGATGGAAAGACGGACGTGGAGGCTTATAGAATTTATGTCCGGAAGGTTCTTAATCTAATGCGAGAGCGCAAGTTGTTCGCGAACCTCAAGAAGTGTATCTTTGCAGCGAACGAAATACCACTTCTTGGCTGCATTGTGGATAAAAACGGTGTACGCCCTGATCCGGTAAAGATCAAGGCAATTAGCGACTGGCCTGTGCCAGTCGACGTCAAGGGACTTCGAAAGTTCCTTGGGTTGTCGGCGTACTTGCACAAACACTCGCGCATCTATGCCAAGACGACCGTACATCTCTCTCGTCTACTAAAGAAAAACGAGAGGTGGTCATGGAGTGCTGAGTTTCAGCACTCTTTCGAAGGTATGAAGAAAATCTTGATACAAATGCCTGTGTTGGCGATTGCAGATCAGGACTGACCATTCCATGTGGTCTGGAACGCCCGCGATCAATCGGTTGCGCGTTAATGCAGTGCGACTCAGACGGCGTTGAGAGCGTTGTCTGTTATCAATCGCGTCAGCTACGAGCGGCTGAGCGAAATCAAACAGTGCATAACAAGGAACTCCTTGCCATGAAATATGCACTGGCTAAGTTTCGGGTATATCCCTTACGAGTTAGGCCCTTCATCGTTTATAACGACCATGGGTCGTTACGCACGGCCGTAACCATTCCACACCTCTCGCAACGAATGGCGAGGTGGCTGTCTTTCTTCTCCGTCGAGTATAAACCAGGACGACTTAATGTCGTCGCTGATGCTCTTTCGCGTCGGCCCGATTTCGGGCCGACTGCTCAACCCAATAGTAGGGGTGATCATACTGTCACAACACTATTAGTGAGTGTTTCGTCGTCAAATCAGCTCGACGAAGTGCGGAAAGCATACGAAGAAGATGAGTCTCTTCTGAGATTGACAGATTGCGTATCTCATCCGTTTAGTCAAGCTTTGAAAAGCTTGACGTCTCAATATCTCTCTTCAAACGAACGGTCTTCGGTTCGTGATGGACTGCTGTACTATACAGTAGTCAACGGCGACACACCTCGTGTCGTCCTTCCCGCTCATGATGATTTGCGATTGCGCATCATGTATGAGTGTCACGATGCCCCAACAAGTGGGCATCGAGGTAGAGAAAAGACTTACCTCATGGTGAGTCGTGACTTCTACTGGCCCCGCCAGTACAGGTTTGGGCGGAAATACAATCGCGCTTGCGACCTTTGTCAACGGGTGATGCCTATTTCTTCATCCCGCGCACCCTTGCAGCCTCTTCCGATTCCGGCAGAGTGTTGGCTGTCCGTATCGATGGACTTCGTCTTCGGGTTTCCCAAAGACGTTCAAAAAAATACTGGTATTCTTTTGTTTATTGATCGGTTCAGTAGATGGTACATCTCGTTGCTGTACCAGAGTCAATTACAGCCCAGGGATTTGCTCGTGTATTCATCGATACTATCTTCCGACTTCACGTGTGACCCCGTGAACTCATGTCTGATTGGGACCCCCGATACATAGCGGAGTTTTGGCAATCCGTGTTCCGTTCACTTGGAACACGTTTGACGATGTCAACTTCTGACCATCCCGAAACAGATGGTCAGACGGAACGCTTCAACCGCGTCCTCGAAGAGATGCTTCGAGCGTATGTCCACTCGTTTACGAGCTGGAGTGAGTTCTTTCCGATGGCGGAATTCGCCATCAAAAACTTGGCGCATGCGTCGACAATGCATACAGCGTTCTTCGTGAATGGGCTACGCCATCCACGTTTACCCGCCTTCTTAGAGTGTGATTCTAGTTTAAGGGGGGGCGGAATCGCTCGAGCAAAAACCGATCCAGTTCTTGCTCATCACACGTCAAAAATGGATTCGACGTGATGGAAGCCGATTTCGATCACAACGACATCGACCATTCAGCAGTGCACACGAAGCGCACTGCTGTTTACATAGATGAACCAGCACAGGAATTTATGCTGACTCGCGGAGCTGTTGTACACTTCGTTCATAACTTTATTGCAGATACGATATTCAAGCAGAAAAGGGATGCAGACAAACAGGAGGAGCAAAAGTATTTTTATCTGATGGGAAAGACTTGGCATTAAGGTCAACAGTAAACCTTTCGAAACACGCAGTAACAAACGTGTGCAGCATCGCTAACTAGCAATACCGATTTTGCACAGAAGCGTGTTCGGTCCCGCAGAATACCGGACGTTGGATCGAGTCCGGTCGCAGACGACAACATTTTCACGTACGTATTCGTTGTCATTGCGCTGCCTGTTTAAGTACCTGATGCCGACTATGTGGTCTATCGTAGCATATACGCTGCGTTGAGTACTCACCAAGAGTCGGCTCGACCGCAAAGAGCAAGGAGTAAAACTTCCCGTCCGGGAAGTGAACCCGGGTCACCCGCGTGACAGGCAGGCAGGTATACTAGCCACTATACTAACGAGAATCCCCAACCCTCATTCTCACATACCGGTTCAAAAATAGGACACACGCCCTGCACGACATCACTTGCTACAAGCAAGACGTGTCCCTTCACGCACCATGTTCCTAGGCAGCGATGCGATCGAACCACATATCTGCTAGTAATCCATCGTCCGAAAGCAACTGGTTCGGCGAAGAACACTCATCCACTTCACCGCTCTAGATCTTTTCTCTGACAGGTACGAGTCGCTCAATGACAACTAGAAGTTGCTAGCTAGCATCATCGATTCTGCACAGGAGCGTGTTTGGTCTCGCAGGATACCGGACCTGGGATCGAGTCCGGTCGCAGACGACAACACTTTCACATACGTATTCGTAGCCATTGCGCTGCCTGTTCAAGTACTTGATGCCGACTATGTGGTCTATCGTAGCATATACGCTGCGTTGAGTATTCACCGAGAGTCGGCTCGACCGCAAAGAGCAAGGAGTAAAACTTCCCGTCCGGGAATTGAACCCGGGTCACCCGCGTGACAGGCAGGTATACTAACCACTATACTAACGAGAATCCCCAACCCTCATTCTCACATACCGGTTCAAAAATAGGACACACGCCCTGCACGACATCACTTGCTACAAGCAAGACGTGTCCCTTCACGCACCATTTTCCTAGGCAGCGATGCGATCGAACCACATATCTGCTAGTAATCCATCGTCCGAAAGCAACTGGTTCGGCGAAGAACACTCATCCACTTCACCGCTCTAGATCTTTTCTCTGACAGGTACGAGTCGCTCAATGACAACTAGAAGTTGCTAGCTAGCATCATCGATTCTGCACAGGAGCGTGTTTGGTCTCGCAGGATACCGGACCTGGGATCGAGTCCGGTCGCAGACGACAACACTTTCACATACGTATTCGTTGTCATTGCGCTGCCTGTTCAAGTACTTGATGCCGACTATGTGGTCTATCGTAGCATATACGCTGCGTTGAGTATTCACCGAGAGTCGGCTCGACCGCAAAGAGCAAGGAGTAAAACTTCCCGTCCGGGAAGTGAACCCGGGTCACCCGCGTGACAGACAGGCAGGTATACAAACCACTATACTAACGAGAATCCCCAACCCTCATTCTCACATACCGGTTCAAAAATAGGACACACGCCCTGCACGACATCACTTGCTACAAGCAAGACGTGTCCCTTCACGCACCATGTTCCTAGGCAGCGATGCGATCGAACCACATATCTGCTAGTAATCCATCGTCCGAAAGCAACTGGTTCGGCGAAGAACACTCATCCACTTCACCGCTCTAGATCTTTTCTCTGACAGGTACGAGTCGCTCAATGACAACTAGAAGTTGCTAGCTAGCATCATCGATTCTGCACAGGAGCGTGTTTGGTCTCGCAGGATACCGGACCTGGGATCGAGTCCGATCACAGACGACAACATTTTCACGTACGTATTCGTTGTCATTGCGCTGCCTGTTCAAGTACTTGATGCCGACTATGTGGTCTATCGTAGTAGATACGCTGCGTTGAGTATTCACCGAGAGTCGGCTCGATCGCAAAGAGCAAGGAGTAAAACTTCCCGTCCGGGAATTGAACCCGGGTCACCCGCGTGACAGGCAGGTATACAAACCACTATACTAACGAGAATCCCCAACCCTCATTCTCACATACCGGTTCAAAAATAGGACACACGCCCTGCACGACATCACTTGCTACAAGCAAGACGTGTCCCTTCACGCACCATTTTCCTAGGCAGCGATGCGATCGAACCACATATCTGCTAGTAATCCATCGTTCGAAAGCAACTGGTTCGACGAAGAACACTCGTCCACTTCACCGCTCTAGATCTTTTCTCTGACAGGTACGAGTCGCTCAATGACAACTAGAAGCTGCTAGCTAGCATCATCGATTCTGCACAGGAGCGTGTTTGGTCTCGCAGGATACCGGACCTGGGATCGAGTCCGGTCGCAGACGACAACATTTTCACAAACGTATTCGTAGCCATTGCGCTGCCTGTTCAAGTACCTGATGCCGACTATGTGGTATATCGTAGTAGATACGCTGCGTTGAGTATTCACCGAGAGTCGGCTCGACCGCAAAGAGCAAGGAGTAAAACTTCCCGTCCGGGAATGGAACCCGGGTCACCCGCGTGACAGGCAGGCAGGTATGCTAACCACTATACTAACGAGAATCCACAACCCGCATTTACACGTACTGGTTCCAAAAAAGGACACAAGCCCTGCACGACATCACTTGCTACAAGCAAGACGTGTCCCTTCACGCACCATTTTCCTAGGCAGCGATGCGATCGAACCACATATCTGCTAGTAATCCATCGTCCGAAAGCAACTGGTTCGGCGAAGAACACTCATCCACTTCACCGCTCTAGATCTTTTCTCTGACAGGTACGAGTCGCTCAATGAGAACTAGAAGTTGCTAGCTAGCATCATCGATTCTGCACAGGAGCGTGTTTGGTCTCGCAGGATACCGGACCTGGGATCGAGTCCGGTCGCAGACGACAACATTTTCACAAACGTATTCGTAGCCATTGCGCTGCCTGTTCAAGTACTTGATGCCGACTATGTGGTATATCGTAGTAGATACGCTGCGTTTAGTACTCACCGAGAGTCGGCTCGACCGCAAAGAGCAAGGAGTAAAACTTCCCGTCCGGGAATTGAACCCGGGTCACCCGCGTGACAGGCAGGTATACCAACCACTATACTAACGAGAATCCCCAACCCTCATTCTCACATACCGGTTCAAAAATAGTACACACGCCCTGCACGACATCACTTGCTACAAGCAAGACGTGTCCCTTCACGCACCATGTTCCTAGGCAGCGATGCGATCGAACCACATATCTGCTAGTAATCCATCGTTCGAAAGCAACTGGTTCGGCGAAGAACACTCATCCACTTCACCGCTCTAGATCTTTTCTCTGACAGGTACGAGTCGCTCAATGACAACTAGAAGCTGCTAGCTAGCATCATCGATTCTGCACAGGAGCGTGT